CCCCTGGTGTGCTAGCTTGCCATGTGCTGGCAGGCGGTGGGTGATGCTACTGGGCCTAGGGAGGATGTGGGGAGAGGGCTGGGTGAAGACATTTCAAGGCAGCAAGCAGTGATCAATCGCCTTGGACACTGGGATCAGTCTCTTGGGTGGCGTCCATCTGGGGTTGGACAGGCAGGCAACCTTGTCGAAGTCATCCTAAAAAAACAGTTATTGACTTATTTATTTGTTGCAGAGAGAGGAAGGGAGAGGTAGTGTTAGAGAGGGAGTCCCCAATTGCTAGTTCACACTGTCGACAACACTGGCCAGGTGCCAGGAGCTCCATCCAGGTCTCCCTGTGAGTACACTGCAGGGAGCTGGACGGGTGGCCAAGGAGCCAGGACTCTAACAGGCTTACTCAGCTGCCCCAGTGGCAGCTTGCTGCCCACTCCCAACCCAACAGTTGCCCCAGAATCTCTTTTGGTGTGAGGGTGTCGAGGCTCCGAGCCCACTCAGAGTTCTAGTCTTTCCTGTGAGATTAGAGGCTCGTATGACATCAGCCCCTTCATACTATGATGTCAGAGTTCCCTGTGATGTCACCACCCCCTGAGCTCAGCTCAGCCATGCATGACATTAACCTCAAGGGACAGCAGATGGTGAGTGGGTGTGGCTCTCTTGGCCATGTGATCCACATGGCCTGGTCTTGGTCCAAGACACCTCCCCTCCCCCCATCCAAGTGTGCCACATGAGGCAGAGACACATGATGAGTAGCCGGGGACCAGCTCCGGCTGACTCAAGAGCTTGTGAGGGATGTGTGGACTGACGAGGAGATAACCATTCCGGCATGATGCGCATAACGGACAACTCAGAAAAGTTGCCTTCTTTATTTATACATAAATCATCACAAGCTTTGCACAACATTCAGTTATTTCATTTTTACTTCATTATAAAAGAATAATTACAAAAACAATCCTAAAAAACATTATTATTATTTTACTTCAGAGAAAAATATTTTCAGTAAGCTATTACTCATTCAAACCTGCAGTGACCTGGCTGAAGCCAGGAACTCCACAGCTGGCAGCACATGCAGTCATATAGTGACAAGTGGTTTACTTATATCCAAAATCAATGTTCACTAAACACAATCTAACTAATATTACTTAAAATATCAAGAGTACAGAATTAAAAGATCATAAATGAAAGGAACTTCTAAAGGCATATATCATAGATTCTTTATGAAATCTTATAATCAATCATGCATTAATTACCACCACCTTCACCTAGTGCTGATTCAAATGTTTTTTGTTCTTTTGTTAAAGCGCAGTGAGAGGGATCAGGGCAACTCAGCCTTTCTACAGAGGGCCTTTGCAAGAAACTTCTTTTCATCTTTATAAACTGTTTCCTTTCCCTAAGTATGAGTGCCAATATAAGGTACAAATTTTTATAAACTGTATTCTTTCCCTAAATATAAGTGCCAATATGAGGTAGACGTTTTAAGCCATTTTTCTTTGGGGTTCACATTTGTCTCCCTTTAGAAGATGCCCCATGTGCTTTCAGCTTTCCGTGGTGAGAAACCAAAATGTGTCATTTCATGTGTTGTGCAAACTCTTTGTACCTCCATGATTGCCATCTGTTCCAAGATATTATCAAGCCATTTCTTTTTTAAAAAATTTTATTGAAAAGTCAGATATACAGAGAAAAAGAGAGACAAAGATCTTCTGCCCAATGATTCACTCCCCAAGTGACCACAATGACCGGTGCTGCACTGATCTGAAGCCAGGAGCCAGAAGGAGACTTCCGGGACTCCCACGTGGGTGCAGTGTCCCAAGACTTTGGGCTGTCCTCGACTGCCTTCCCAGGCCACAAGTAGGGAGCTGTATGGGAAGTGGGGCTGCCAGGATATGAACTGGCGACCATATGGGATCCTGGTTTGTTCAAGGCGAGGGCTTTAGCCGCTAGGCCACCACACTGGGTCCTATCAAGCCATTTCTTGAGGAAAACATTACTTATATTACGGCAAGCTCCAGGACAAAGGTGGGCACATGACAGGATGTTTGGACATGTCGTGGGCTCAGCTGTACTATTGTATGCTTTTAGCTGTGTGTCATTGCCTTAAGTTGCTAAAGATGCTTTTACCATAACATGATTGATCAGTTTGAGGTGTTATACCAGTTACAGGAATCACCTCACATTTGCAGAAAAACAGCACCCTCAGGAGAATTCTATGAAACGTCAGAGAGGTGACTGAGTTCCAAACAATGGGGTGAGGCAGCAATGAGGTGACCAGAGACGTTCTGCCAGGCCTTGCCACGTAGCCAGAAACTTCTCGTAGCCTTGCTAACCAAGGAGCAGTGCTCATCACACATACATGCCATCTGACCCAACTGCACGGCTCCTCACAATGGGTGTCTGTACATATGGGCAAGGGCTGCATTCTTCCAGAAGTGGTCACTTAACTGTGGGTCCTCAAATCTGTGCCAGAACCTACAGGGTCCTGATGTACCCAACGCAGGCACACACTCAAAAAGCTACTGTCTTCTATGGAGAAACCACAGTTCCCATGTACTTGGCCCTCTGCATGGGTATCCATGGACATTGCATGGCCATGTGTGTGTGGCCTTGGATAGGGGGGCCCATGGACACTGCGTGGCTGTGTGCAACCCTATGCGTGGGTGCCCGTGGACACTGCATGGCCATGTGTGTGTGGTCCTCTGCGTGGGTGCCTGTGGACACTGCGTGGCCGTGTGTGTCGTTTGTGCATGGGTGGCCATGAACACTGAGTGGCAGAGTGCGTGAGTGCCTCTGGACACTAGGTGGCCCTAAGGGTGGGTGCCCATGGGCCCTGCGTGCCTGCGTGGTCATAAGCATGGGTGCCTATGGACGCTGTGAGGCCGTGTGCCCAGCGCCGCTCCGAATCTGGGCGCCAGGTGGCGCCGTCCGCCCGCCAGTGTCCCCGGCCTCCCCGGCGCCGCGGTGCGCGTGGCCGCCAGCAGGACCTCGGGACGCGCCTGGGGCGGACGCCAGGCCTTCGGTGCGTGCCCCATGGAGGCAGGCGAGGGATGTGGGCGCCCGTGCGGGCCGAGCCTTCCTGGCCCTCCCCCGCATCCCGTGAGCCAACCTGTCTCCCAGGTCGCCCCATCTTCCTTTTAGTAGGGAGGGGACAGCAGGAACCCGTGGACAAGCGGTCACGCAGGGACGACCCCGGGCTCCCCCGCCGTGCCCATTTGGCCCTGGCCTGCTGGGAGGCCTCCCCGCACCGCCCACGCCTGGGCAGGGCGGAGCAGGGGCCCTCGACTGGAGAGGAAGCCCCAAGGCCGGATCAGAGCAGGACCAAAGCTGTAATTAAAGGTTCCGGCTGAACGGATTAGTGCAGGGGCGGGTCACAGGTTCGTGGGGACTGACTGAGTGAAGCGGGACCATGGTGCAGCGTCCTTGACTTTTTAGGGGATTTTTTTTTTTTTCCTGTGTGAATTTGAATGCAGCGACAGTTTCCCATCCTCAGGTCATTCCACAGAGGCTGTGCTGGGCTGCGTGGTCTTGCCTGGGACCCAGGGCTTGGGCAGCCCCCGCTGTCCCCTGGGGGGATTGGCTTGATGTAGGGTCAGACGCTGGGAAAAAGCTGAAGGCGTCCCAGCTGCTGCACCAATGCCCTCTATTCGACCTCCCAACCCTGATGAGGGCTGGGACAGTGACCAGGGCAATGAGGGCACTGAGGCTGTCCATCACTGGTTCTAAATACAACCCACCTGGCCTGGAGACACTGGGAGGGTCCAGGCTGGCATTCACTGCGTCTGCTCCAGAGCCTGGGTCACCCCAAGGTTCGCTCCCATGTGTGGCCCAGAGACCTGTCCCTGCCCGCAGTGGACTCCTTCCATTACAAGAACCAACGGTGACGAGCTGGGGGGACAACCAACAGAAGCCCTATGACCCCATGACGGAAGGCTGTCTAGGGCCAGGTGGGGTGGGGAAGTGGGGAGGGCCAGAACCCAACAAAGCAGGCAGGTGGGCAAGGATCAAGTCCTTCCAGCTTGGAACCTGCTGGAGAGGGCTGTGGGCAGCCAGGATGTGGGGGACGCACAGGCAAGGGGGCACATGGCGGTGCAGGCTGCAGCCTTGACTGGGGAATGGTTACAGGTCATGAGTTGGGTGCAGATTGGTGGCCACAGCTGGGCAACTCAGCCCTCTGCACCAGGCCAGAGGTGGCCTAGAGGGGAAGCTGGGGCGGTGGGGAGTGGAAACACAGTGCGTCTGGTGGAGGGGGCTCCAGGAGCACATAGCATGCTGGGGCACAGGAGCAGGTGGGGCTGCGCCAAGGTCCAGATTTTAATTTTACTCCTCTGAGAGGCAGAGCTACAAAGTGAATGAGATTTACTCCATCTGCTGATTTATTCCCCAAATGGCTGAATGCAGACTTTCCTGTCTCCCACACGGGCCCATTCCCCACTGCCAGGTGCATCAGCAGGGAGCTGGGTGGAAGGTGGAACAGCTGGCACCCACATGCGATGTCAGCACTGCAGGCAGAGGCTCAGCCTGCTACACCATGCCACATATCCTCAGAGTTGCTTTCCCTCCCACCTATTTTATTATTTTTTTTGGAAAGGCAAGTGAGATTTTACAGACAAACAGCTTTCATCTGCTGGTTCATTCCCCAAATGGCCAAAACAGCTGGAGCTGAGCCAATCTGGAGCCAGGAGCTTCTTCCGGGTCTTCCATGCAGATGCAGGGTCCCAAGGCTTTGGGCCGTTCTCTATTGTTTCCCAGGTACATCAGCAGGAAGCTGAGTAGCAAGTGAAGTAGCCAGTGCCCATTGGGATTCTGGTATTTGCAAAGTGAGGATTCAGCCATGAGCCATTGCAGCAGTCTCATGTCTTTGGTCACACCTCCTGAGGCCCCTTTCCACCAGGAAGTGACCTTTGTCCAGGGAGCTCCCAGCAGGCTCTGCCAGGCCCTGTGACAGCCTACGACAGCTGCAGGGCCTGCCCCTTCCGAGCTATAAAAAGCTGTGGTGACTGTGTGAGCAAGGACACACAGGACACCTACACAACCTGAGCCATGCTGAGGCTGTTCCCTGTCGCCAGGCTGCTCCGGACCCCCCTGAGATGCTGGGTGCTCCCCAAGGCGCATGTCTCTGCTAAGCCAGCCAGAACACCCACCTCCCCTGTGGTAAGTGACCTTGGGCGGTAGGGAACACATGGGGGACATCCACAGTGCCAGGCCCCAGTGCCCGCTGGGCCTTCCTTGGCGCTATGGCTGTAAAGGCATGAGAGCACTGGGAGGCCAGGCCCCTCTGGCACCAGCATTGGGCGACAGGGGTGGGGCTCAGCGCTCAGGTCCCCACCTGAGGGCACAGAGTGGGGGTTGCCGTGAGGGTGAGTGGATCTGGCTCCAGGGTGTGCCACCAAGACTTGGACCCAGACTGACCCCCAGTTAGAGTCAGGAACAGGTGGTCCCCAAGGCAGCATGACAGAGGGGACACTGGCCCTGGAGGGTGACTTCTGCCCCCATCCCAGCTTCCTCAGCATGGGGTTGGGGGAGGGAAGCTAACAGGGCAACACCACACCTTTGCTGTTGGTGCCCTCCCCAGCACACCTGATGGCAAGTAACCAGGGGGCGTGGTGCCCGCTACAGGCAGCCCACCCGCTCACAACACCACAGCAGGCCAGCTCTCCAGAGCCCCGGTCAAGGCCAGAAGTAGCCAGGGTGCTGACTATGGAACAGCTACTCCTGGCCCATACTGCACACCTACACAGCCCCACGTCGAGAAAGGACTGAATGGTCAGGGGAAGGCAGGTGGGCAGCCTTCCTGGGGCCAGGTCTGGTGGACTCAACACAGCTATGTCCTCCTCCCCCCAGGAGCAGGCGGTGGGCATATCAGTGCTGTTTGTCAGCTTGCTGGCTCCTGCAGGCTGGGTCCTGACTCACCTCGAAAGCTACAAGAAAGGCTCCAAAGAATGAAGGCCTCGCAGCGCCCCAGGCACCGGACCCAAAGTGCCTAATAAAACTCTGCCCACCTCACCCCTGCCTCAGTGCCTCTATCAACGCCCTCCCACCTCACCCCATCTCAGTTCTAGTGAGCCTCTACCCACCTCACCCCTGCCCCAGGTCCTCTAGTGAACCCCTCCTCACTGCTGCCCCACATCCTTCATCTGTGTGCACCCCATGCTGGCCCCCTTTACGCAACTAGACCAGCCCAGGCTGAACTGAGCTGGACTGTTTTGGCCTTGGAGGTGTTGGAGCAGGGGGCATACTGGGCACCAAAGATGCTGGTGACAAGAGTGAGGTGAGGTGGCCAAGTGAGGGCCTTTGTCAGAGAAGGCTGGGGGGGGGGGGTGGCCTGGAGTAGGCCACAGGAAGCCTCACACCCTCAGCATGGAACAAGGGGCTGAGGCCAAACCACCATGAAGACCTCTGAGGTTCTCATCTTTTCAGAAAGCAGAGCCACCCAAAGATGAAGCCACGGCATTTATTATAGTGACACCCCCAAAGACAGTGGGAGACACACAGGTGGGGACGCCCACCTGCATCACCTGAGCCCAGGAGACCCTCCCTTCCTCCGCAGGCTGCAGAGACCCCTGGAGCTCTCTCCCTGTGACCAGGCCCCTCTGTGAATGGTCAGGATCCAGCGGCCAGGCAGGTGCTAGGTGAGGATGTCGTGGGCCTGGTGCTCTACCAGCATCTCCATGCTCTTCACGTCGGCGCACCAGAACTCCAGGCGGTCCTTCATGCCCTTGATCTAAGCAAGCCAGGACCCGGGCATTAGGGCAGCCAGCAGCAGGGTGGGCATGTGCTCACCATGGCCGGCTCTCAGCATGAGGACAGGGAAGGAACAGGCATGGAGAGAATGCCCACAGGGTCACATCTCACCCAACCTGAGGCGGATGTGTCTGAGCCAGGCCCCCATTTTGGGATTAAGGCACAGTGAGCTCCGCCAGCACTGTAACCGCATAAGCCTTTAAGTGCAGGGTTCAACCCTGCTGACATCAGTTAGCTTCTCAGAAAAGCCTTGGTCCTAAGGTGGTTATCACAAGCACGCCTGTCATCTGGTAACACCAGCTTCCGGCCCAATAAGGCCAGCATAGCACAGACAACCCCCGACCCACCAAGGTGACCTGAGGGCCCCCCCACGGCACCTGTTGCAAATCCAGTACTCGAGGCTGTACCCAGGTCATGTGGACACGTCTATCCACCTCGTCTATACTGCCCTTCACCAGTCCAACAGACAGGGCCTTCATCACGAGTAGCTCCACCTTGATGAGAAGGGGCTATGTGAGACCCAGACACGTACCAGATCCTCTCCATGGGTGAGCCCCGCCCCTTCCCCTGGGTGAGCCACAACACACAGCAGGCCCTCCCCGTGGGTGAGCCCTGACATGCACCAGGCTCTACCCCTGGGTGAGCACCCAGCCCCTGCAACTATGGTGGCAGCATCCTGAGTCAAGAGCCCTACCTCATTCACTGTGATTTTAGCACTCTGGGCAATTTCTTCAAAAGTAAGCTGTCTGTGATTGGCAGGTCGTGTGAAAGTCATCTGGAAAAAAATACCATTTGTTAACCTGTTTGAAAATACTTTTCTAAGTAAAAACTCTGAGACAAGTGAGTAGTAAGGATATTTTCAGGTGATACTTGGTCTGAAAATACCAGTCATCTTGTTAGGACTCACAGTCGCATCTCCTTATTAAGAACAAACTGCCAGGGATCCAATGAGAAGGTCTGAACAAGAACCTGGGGCCCCCAGGAGCCAGAGGAACTGTGGCGAACCAGAAACGTGGGCCATGTGCTCCAGTCACTGGGGAAGGGACAGGAAGTATGTGAGGAGCAACTGTGGCAGAGAGAGAGGCGTGTGTGAGGAGTGGCTGTGACGGAGGGAGAGGCGTGTGCGTGAGGAGCTAAGGAGCGGCTGTGATGGAGGCAGGTTTGGGCAGCTCGTTCGGCTCAGATGTCAGAGAAGGCTAGCTCCAGGGCCCCTTTGTAATGAGCTGATGGAACAGAGCAGGTGCCGGACAGTAGGACTGGACAACCAGAGGAATGGCATCCGATGTATTTCCACCCAGGCAGGACAGAGTTGGAGCCAGTGGCCCCAGCTGCCTCCAGGCACTCGTGTGAGGCTGCAGTGTGAACAGTCAGGGAAGCCTGCCTACCTCCATAAGGCACAGCAGCTGGATCTTCCTGAGGAGCTGGGCCTCATTGGCCGCCAGGTCGGGCTGCAAAGTGTGGAAGGATAAATGGCATTTGTGCTTTTTAGTTTCCCAGCCCAGACAGAACAACGAAAAATGAGGCAAGTCCACACATTTCACACAGCAGAGCCCAGCAGAGCCCAGAGGCTGCTCTCAAGACAGGCAGCCTGTAGGACGGGATCCCTCGGGAAGAATGGATGCCAGCACCCGGAGCCCTCCATAGGGCGCTGGGCTAGTGGAGCCCGGCCTTGGACACACCCTGAACTCTGGGAACTGCTTGGAATGCCAGGACACCTGCTCTGTGAAATTGAGTCTCCTTATAGGTTGTTCAAGCTACTTGGGGAACCAATACTTGCTTAGAATTAGATCAGAACTGGCAGCCTGTACCAACTGGAACAGACCTCAAGGACTGCACCTTACCACCCCTGCTCCCTTCCGAGCGGACAGACAATATGGGCCACGCCTAACTTCCTTCTTCTCCTTCAGAGACTACACACAGTCAGACAACACTGTGGTCAGACTGGAGTGGGTTTCACACCTACTCTACTCCCTTGGGACAGCACAGCAACAATAACACAGCCGAAAGTGCTGCCATGGTAACATTCTCCTGCTGGTTTCCTCCTTCCAACTACACGAATAAACTCACCATTAGGACTCAGGTCCTGCAGGGTCCCCAGCCCCATAAACATGAACATCTGCCCAGGATAACACAGGATGCCAATTGCTTCCTGTGCCCTGTGCGTCCCTGGCCACTCAGCCCTGAGGTTTCTGCTGGGACCCCAGAGCCCTTGTTCAGCTATGCTCTCAGCACAGAGCCAGCCTGTGGTCGGCTGTGCTGTGGGCCTGCAGGGGGGTTTACCTGCTGGCCCCACGCAGCCCTCAGCGTCTGGAATCGCTCCACATTGCCACTGTTGAAGGCATAGAGGGTGTCAATCAGCCACTGGCGGTCTGTGTTCCTCAGCGACTCCAGCACGGGGTGCATGAGCTGTGAGGGTAAAGGTGATCAGCCGGACAGCCAGTGTCCCGGCAAGGGGGCGGGGAGGACATGAGCCAAGGGCTAACTTACGAGCTCTCCAAAGTTAAAAACTCCCTCGCCGAGGAGTCCGGCAAGTCCCAGCGTGAAGGCTCGCTCCTGCTGCTCAGATACTACGGTGACAAGGTGGTTGGTCACAGCCCAGGCCCAAAGCTCCTGCAGTTCCTCCTCACACAGCCACCATCTCCTAGCAGCTCCTATCACACAGGCTCCCCTGCACAGCCTTGACCCTGGCTGGCCATGTCTGATGGCATGGGCAGCCTTGGACCAAACAGGACCACACACATAGACAGACGTGGGCTTGGGGACAGAGAATGTGTGTTCTATTTGTCTCTGCATGAAAGTCGGCTCGCCTTGACAGCCCGCCCACCCAGCCACTGTGAGTCCCTTGCTTTGTCCATTACGGTTCCTCAGTGAGCCCCTCCAGAACTCAGCTGCTCCCACAGGGTTCTCCTCAGAGAAATGCACTCAAGGTTCTCCTCAATCCTGCACTCAAGCACAGTGGCTGCTCCCTACTCTTTCCTGAGGCACAAAAATCAGAATGGCACCAACAGGTTTTGGTCTCCTCAGCATCAAGATTGTACTGACAGGAGTATCCAAAATACGTCGAAAAGTTATTTTTTTTCATTACTATTACTTAAAGATTAAAAGCAGGAGTTACAGAGAGCTCTTCCCTTCAGTGGCTTACTCCCCAAATGGCCACAGCTAGCTAGAGCTTGACTGATCTGAAGCAAGGGGCTTCTAGGTTTTCCTTGGGGGTGCTGGGGCCCAAGCCATTTGGATGTTCCTCCGCTGCTTTCCCAGGCCACAAACAAGCAGCTGGATTGGAAGTGGAGCAGCTGGGACTTGAACCAGCACCCATAGGGGATGCTGGCACCAGGTTTTACCCACTACACCATAGCACTGACCCGCGTAAATTATTTTCCAAACACATTTCACATGCTGTTCCCCAAATCCCTGATCATTGAGAGGTTTTCTAACTTATTCCCACAGGTCTCAGAAGCAGGACCTCAGGTACCCCGCAGGGGCACAAAACCTGATGTAGGTGGCAGGAATGCCAAGGAACTGACACACCTGGGTCAAGGGCAAGCTCATACACACACTGCTCCACCTCTGATGAACTGCAGAGGCACACAGCTGCCCCAGGCAGTGCAGACCCTGACGGGGCATCACCTGGGAGCTCCTTGACGTCCACACAGCCCAGGAAGCGCAATGCATCTTTGTAGTAGGACGCGTGGTTCCCGATTGTCTGGTAGTACTTGCTGGAGAGATCGTAGAAGCGGCTGTGGACAGACGTCACGCCTGGGAGGTTACTCAACATTTCTTCAACATCCTCGATGGTTTCCTTAAAAAAGACATACTTATGGGTCCGGTGTGATGGCTCAATGGTTAAACCCTCACCTTGCAAGTGTGAGGATCCCATATAGGTGCCAGTTCCTGTCCTGGTTACTCCACTTCCCATCCAGCTCCCTGCTATGACCTGGGAAAGCAGTGAAGAATGGCCCAAGTGCTTAGGACCCTGCATCTGTGAAGGAGAACTCGAAGAATCTTCCAGGTCTTGGCTTCAGACTGGCTCAGGTCTGACCCTTGTGGCCATTTTAGGGAGTGGACCATCAGATCTGTCTTTCCTTTTCCCTAAATCTGAACCTTCTTTACAAAAACATTATTTATTTTCCTTAAAGTGGAACATATTTATCCATTTTAAAATCAGTTAGAGAGGAGAGACAGAGACCTCCATCTCTTATGGTTCACTTCCCAGGTGGTCACAATGGCCAGGGCTGGGCCAGGCTGAAGCCAGGAGCATGTTCTGGGTCTGGACCATCATCCCTTGTTTTCCCAGGTCATAAGCAGGGAGCTGGATCCACACTGAAGCAGTAAGGAGCAGAAGTGGGGTCCATGTGCAATGTTGGCACCACAGGTGGAGGATTAGCCTGCTTTGCCACTTAATACATTCTAATAAATCTAAAAAATGAAGAGCCAGGCCAATAGTGATATTATTGCTAAAGAAATATTAAATCTAAGTCCCTTTAACCAACTCAGTTCAACAGATACCTGAACACTTTAAACTGTACACAGAGCACACAGAGAATAAATGAATTATTCTGATCAGCAGTGATTTCCAGACCCAGCACCAGTGTGTGTGTCTACACTGAAGACCTGCCTGTGTGTGTGTGTTGTGTCTACACTGAAGACCTGACTGTGTGTGTCTATACTGAAAACCTGCCTCTGTGTGTGTGTGTCTACACTGAAGATCTGCCTCTGTGCGTCTGTGTGTCTACACTGAAGACCTGCCTGTGTGTGTGTATGTGTGTCTACACTGAAGACCAGCCTCTGTCCTCTGTGTGTGTGTCTACACTGAAGACCTGCCTGTGTATGTCTTACACTGAAGACCTGCCTGTGTGTGTGTGTGTGTCTACGCTGAAGACCTGCGTCTGTGTGTGTGTCTACACTGAAGACCTGCCTCTGTGTGTGTGTGTCTACACTGAGGACCTGCCTGTGTATGTCTTACACTGAAGACCTGCCTGTGTGTGTGTGTGTGTCTACACTGAAGACCTGCCTCTGTGTGTGTGTGTCTACACTGAAGACCTGCCTCTGTGCGTCTGTGTGTCTACACTGAGGACCTGCCTCTGTGCGTGTGCGTGTGTCCACTAAAGACCTGCCTCTCTGTGTGTGTGTGTGTGTGTGTGTCTGTGTGTGTGTGTCTACATTGAGGATCAGCACGTAAGTTTTCAGGCAACAAGAACACAAAGCCCCACAATCCAGTGGCCTTGGCTCCACAGGGCAGCGAGGACACGCACTGTGTCATAGAGACATCAACACAGAGCTGGGTGGTAGCCAGGTCGACCTAGCTTGGATGAGCAGCCTGGCCAGTGCGAGGAGGCCAACCCAGCTGGATGAGCAGCTGTGGAACCCAGGTACTCCCCGGGCAAGATCACAGCTACTTTACCGACAGCTAACCTGTCCATGTTGTTGAACACACACATATGCAAAGAGCCAAAGTGGGAAGCAGTACGGTGGGATGAGAGCTAAAGGAGACTATTAGCATTTCTTTTGGATTTTAAGTTTTTAAAACAGGTTATTCTTTGCAGAACACACACAAAGACAAACACAGCTGTACCTGGTGTCCTCACCTTTGTCACCTGTAGGTCCCCAATGTTTAACTTGAGGGCGCCAATGGCTGTTTTACACAGGATCACTGCTTCATCGCTACTTTTTACCTGAAGATGAGAAAACACAAGGCAATTAGCTCTGTAGCTGGCGACTGACCGAGCAGCCCCACTCCACACACACTGATTTCCCTGTAAAGCACACACATGGTCCTAAAGCAGCTGCTGTGCGCTGACCTGACTCCCTAAAGGAGTGCGGTCACACATGACATGCAAATCCCACCAATGTGGAGATGCACAGCCCCACTTCACACCTACCTTTTCACGAGTCTTCTCCAGGAAGGTAAGAGCCACATTAGGGTCTAGAAAAGAAAGAAGAGTCAGAAAAGCTGCAGGCTCTCTGCCTGCCTCCCCATCAGGACACGTCTGGGCAGGATAGCCACTGGGGTCAGACTACTACATACCATGAACACTGCAGCAGAATCTCACAAGCACCATGCCTACCTTCCAGCACAAAGTTTAAGTCTCTCATTCTACTAGATCATTCTACGCACATTGGGGTCTGCCCCTTTAAGGGCACAGTGAGACTTACCGGTCATCTGCCTAACCACGTGAAGAATGATCTCCACCAGGGACAGAGGGTTCACCCTGAAACAGACCAGCCTGAGGTCAGGAACCCCAACATGCCCACCAGGGACAGAGGGTTCACCCTGAAACAGACCAGCCTGAGGTTAGGACACCCACTGTCAAAGGGGGAGGCCGGAGAATGCATTACCTGTGTTCAAACTCACTGATGAAGTTTTCATAAAGCTGTGGAATGAAGCACTGAGAATTACTGCATGTTTCATTCTGCAAAATGAATTTACTTATTTACTTATCATTTATCCGACAGGCAGAGACAAAGAGCCCCCCACCTTTGGTTCACCCTTAAATGCCCATAATGGCTGAGACCAGGGATGAAACCACGTGCATGGCAGGAACCCCCACCTGAGCTATCACCACTGCCTCCAGGGTCTGAACTGGCAAGCAGCTGGAACTGGGCACCAAACCCAGGTGCTCCAGCAACTCTTGCCCACAACCCATCTGGAGCTCCACGCAACAGCATGGCACAGAAGCTCCTGCAAGCAATCAGTGAGGGACCAGAACCCACCAGGTTCTCCTTTCAGCTGAGACAATAATGCGTTACTCCCAGAGTCCCCCGACAGCAACTCCTGACTGGCTCTCCAGGCTCCCTGATCAAACAGGCCATGGGCCTGAGGCAGTCACAGAGGGCTGCAGTGGGCGTGTCAGCAAGCGCCTGTGAGAAGAGGCTATCATGGACACAGAGAGAACTTCAGAGCGTGGACACAGGGCAGGCAGGTGGACCAGTCAGAGGCAGCTCCAGCAGCGGCAGGAACCATTCCCAGCAACCATAGGGTGGACACTGGCTGTGAGGCAGTGGGCCCGGCATGGAGCCATCCACCAAGACATCACAAGCTGAGTCCCGGGTGCTTTGCTTCCAGCCCAGCTGCTTGCTGACGCTTTGGGGAAGCAGGCAATGTCGGGTCCCAAAGACCTGGGCCCCAACACCTACGCAGGAGACCCAGGCAGAGCTCCAGGCTCCTGGCTTCAGCCTGGCCCCTAGTTCACTCGGGGAGTAAACTAGTGGATGGAAGACCTAATGATCAGGTTCTGCTAATCTGCTCTTCAAATAACAAATGAATCTTAAGAACAAACAAAACAAAACAAATGCCACACGCTGCTTCAGCACAGGCAGTGGGGACCAGTCAGTGTTCCCCAGTGGCCAGGAGAGCAGAGTACGAAGAACAACACAAAAAGGGCAGGGTTTTAAGCAGCCAGGCCAGGGGAGCAGGCTGTGATTCCCCAATCCACCAGCTGGGATGCTGACCAAGGTTTGATCAGAGAGGTTCTGGCTGGGGGCCGCATCCTATGATTACAGGCAGGGTCCTGGGAGCAAGCAGCGCCCAGTGAGAAGAGGCCCCATGGACTTGATTCCCAGGATAGGACAGCAGGCACAGGGCCTGTCATACAGCAAACAGCCACAGCACCACTTCCCTCCCCGATTCAGCCCCATGACTGCCCTGATGGATGGATGCATGTGGCTGACCCTGCAGCAAACCTGCCTAAGACAATGTCATTATGCGCTCCCCCAAGAGCTCTTCCACTCTAAGTCTCCCCAGTATATTCCACAAACATGAGGACACAGGGAAGGCCATAGAACAGACCCTGGACTCTAGAACAAGTGTGCAGCCTCCATAGCAGATCAGTGGCCACTGCTCAGCTAACACTCACCTTAATGAGGCCATCTCCCTGGGCAAAGCACGGGTCCTGCACGAATTCGAGCACCTGCAGGGTCAGCTGGTGCCACAATCTGAAACATATATGGTCCGTAGGCCTGTGCAGGGCGCCGGGCATCTGCCTGTCCCTCACTGCCAGCCCCTGCCCCTGCCCTGCGCCCAGAACCCTCCAGTCCCATAGCCCTGTCCGGCACCCAACACCCCATCACTGCCCGACACCACGCACCCTCCAGCCCCCGGCCCTGCATGGCACCGAGCACTCTCCAGCCCCTTGGCCCTGTCCGGCACCGAGCACCCTCCGGCCCCCCAACCCTGCATAGCACCCAGCACCCTCCAGCCTCTGGCCCTGTCCGGCACCCAGCATTCTCCAGCCCCTGCCCGGCACCGAGCACTCTCCAGCCCCTTAGCCCTGTCCGGCACCGAGCACCCTCCGGCCCCCCGACCCTGCATGGCACTCAGCACCCTCCGGCCCCCGGCCCTGCCCGGCACCCAGCACCCTCCAGCCTCTGGCCCTGTCCGGCACCCTGCACCCTCCAGCCCCTCGCTGTCTCAGCGCCCGCGTCCCCGAGGTGGCGCTCACTTCTTGGTGTACAGCTCCTCCAGGCGGTGCCACACGGCGGCCTGCCCGGGCCCCGAGCTCTGGCTCTGCTGCAAAAAGCCCGGCACATCCTTCATGGCGATCGGTGGCGGTACACACAGGCCCGGGCTGGCGGAAATGCTCGATCACTTCCGGCGCCGCGCAGCGCGGGGCACACCGGGAACGCTGGCGGGTCCTGAGGCGCCCGTTGTCACGGTAACCGGGCGCCTGCGCGATCCGGACTCGTTGTGCTCCGCGCCGTGTCCCGAAGCCAGAGGCCCGGGTGCCTGGGCGGGGCGTCGGCCGACCGCGACCACAGATCCTCCCGCGGCCTGGGCGGGCGAGGGTCACACGTCGCGAACGCTCGCACAGGACACAGACACTGGAGAGCCCCTCCACCCGACGGACGTCTCTTCCGGGACGCGCGAGGACCCGGGCTAGCCCGGGAGGCGGGGCGAGGCCGGCGCAGGGGCGGGGCCGGGAGTGAGGGGCGGGGCAGTGAGCCGGGAAGGTGGGGCCGGGATCGAGGGGCGGGGCCAGCGAGCCGGGGGGCGGCCGGGGCCGGGGGGAGGGGCGGGACCAGTAAGCCTGGAGGCGGGGCGTAGTCAGAACCTGGCCAGGGCACGTGATCCCGAAGGTCGCCCAAGGCACGTGATCCCGAAGGTTGCCCAGGGCCGCGGAGGAAGATGGCGCTGTGGAGCCGGTGCGCCTTGGCCGCGCGCAGGCTGTGGGGCCTGGGAGGTGAGATGGCCGGGCTGGCGTGGGTTACGGAGACGGGGTAGGACGTGGAAGGGCGGAACGAGCGCGCGTGTCCGGCGAGCGATCGTTCTGCCCGCAGCCTGTCTCCATATCGTGTCCGCACCCTCCTCGTGCCAAGCCCTCTCCGTGGGGTCTCTGACACGGCTGTTGCAGGGTTTATATCGTCGTGTTTAGTGCAGGATTAGATCTTCAGTGTGAGGGAACCATGCCAGTGCGGATGACACCTGCTTAAGCGTCTTTCACTGTAGGGCAGGGGGAGGAGGAGACCGGGGCAGGAGGAGGAGGAGACTTGGAGCGGGGGGGAGACCTGGGACAGGAGGAGGAGGAGACCTGGGACAGGAGGTGGAGACCTGGGGTGGGAGGAGACCTGGGGCACCCAGGCCTGTCCCTCAGTGTCCCTCTGCCCTTCCCCTTGCTACCAGACTGTATATACCTGCTCCTGTGGGCAGGTGACTGTGAAAAGTGAATCTGCTGCTCCCCATCCCCACGGGTGATGTCCTTCCCCAGTGAGGGCACTGAGTGGGGTCATCCATGGCACTTGGCGTGCTCTGGGTCAGCTCTCATGTGGTGGATGTGTGGTCCTTCCTCATGGTGGACACATGTCCTCCCTGGTGGATGTGTGGTCCTTCTCCATGGTGGATGTGATCCTTCCTCATGGTGGACGGGTGGTGCTTCTCTATGGTGGATGTGTGGTCCTTCTCTGCGTGGTCCTTCCCTGTGATGGATGCATGATCCTTTTTCATGGTGCATATGTGGTCCTTCTCCATGGTGGACGCATGGTTGTTCCTCATAGTTAACACGTGGTCCTTCTCCATGGTGGATGTGTGGTTGTTCTCATTGTGGGAGGGTATATTGTGCTGGTCAGCCTGGGGTCAGGGGCCCTTGCACAGTGGCCTCTGCCATTGGGCCTTGTGCTGTCAGCACTGCAGGTGGTGGAAGGCTCCCACCTCTGGTCAATGCATCAGCCATCTCTGGGAGCCCAAGAAGTTCTGGGAAGTTCTCCTTGCAGGATGTGGCTGCACTGATTCGCTCTGGAGCCTGCCAGCGTGTGGTGGTCATGGTGGGCGCTGGCATCAGCACCCCCAGTGGCATCCCCGATTTCAGGTACAGCTGCCATTCTGATGCGCTTGGTGCTGCTGCCATGCTCTGCTGTGCCATGCCCTGCCACACCCTGCTATGCCATACCCTACCATTCTACACCCTGCCCTGCCATACTCTGCTGTCACACCCTGCCATGCTTTGCTCTGCCAAACTCTGCTATTCCACACCTTGCTCTACTCTGCCACGCCCTGCCCTGCCACACCCTGCCCTGCTCTGCCATGCCTTGCTATGCCATGCTCTCCTTTCCCACACTCTTCTTGCCTGCTCTTGCTGAGCTTAGAGTTGCCCCCTCTGCAGGTCTTCAGGCAGCGGCCTCTACAGTAACCTGCAGAAGTACAACCTGCCTTACCCCGAGGCAATTTTTGAACTCGAGTTCTTCTTTCATAACCCCAAGCCCTTCTTCATGTTGGCCAAGGAGCTGTACCCAGGGAACTACAGACCCAATGTCACCCACTACTTCCTCCGCCTGCTGCATGACAAGGGGCTGCTTCTGCGGCTGTACACGCAGAACATCGACGGGCTTGAGAGGGGTGAGCTGGGGGCTAGGCCTCGCTGAACCTCTTGGGAATCTCCCTGACCTCCAGGGTGTGTCCACCTCAGGGCATTTAGGGGCCACTTTCCCAGCATCCCTGTGGGCATGAGTTCTGCTGAGACCCCACCGCTCGGTGTCACCTGGGTTGACTCCTGGGAGGGTGGGGCTGCCTGCCTGGTTTCAGCACTGCAGTCAGGGCAGACCTGGGGTGGAGGCCCCCACTGTGGTCACAATTTCAGAAGCCACCATGTATCCCGTTCCCACAGAAAAGCGTCTCTCAGTGGGTGGAGGCATGGGTTTTTGTGTGGCGCATGTGTGGTTAGGCATGGTCCTTACTGTCTCATATGTCTTGGTGCCCACGCTCTGATGGCCTCGCCCCACCTGGGGGCCCTCAGTGCTTCGTGGGGAGTCCCCTCCGCTGACCCAGCAACCTCAGTGGCCCAGAGCCCTGTGCATCCTTCCCCCACTGCACACAGTCTCGGTTGCCTTTCAGCATCTGGCATCCCAGCCTCTAAGCTGGTGGAAGCCCATGGGACATTTGCCTCTGCCACGTGCACTGTGTGTCGGCGAAGCTTCCCTGGTGAGAACTTCAGGGTAGGTTGCTGCTGGCTCCCTGTGTGGGGTGGATGCTTCTGCCTCCAGCTAGGGCCTCTGTCCACCCTGGCATCCCCTCGTGAGAGGTTCTGTGCAGGCACAGCCACAGGCCGTGTTCATACTCCCATGCATTGGCCCTTCACTCAGCAGTGCACTGAGGGCATTCGCTTGGCTGTGAATTCTGCTCCGTTTGTGACCTTATGGAGTGACTGCCCTCCGTGAGCAGTATGGCAGCCCTAGGTCGGTGAGTGTCCTGCAGGACAGTGTGGGAAACTTGTGGGCAATGCACGTGTCCCCCAGAAGCACCATCTTGGCAAGAATCCTCTCACTCATTTATTCTCTCAAGCAAAGTGTTCGCTCACAGTTCCCCATTTAGCATGTGCAGTGCCTGTGTGGTGTGTGTGTGAGGCATGTGCAGTACCGTGTGTGGTGTGTGCAGTACCGTGTGGGGTGTGTGTGTGGTGTGGTGCATGTGCAGTACCGTGTGGGGTGTGTGTGGTGTGGTGCATGTGCAGTACCGTGTGGGGTGTGTGTGTGTGGTGTGGTGCATGTGCAGTACTGTGTGGGGTGTGTGTGTGATGTGGTGCGTGTGCAGTACCGTGTGGGGTGTGTGTGGTGTGGTGCGTGTGCAGTACCGTGTAGGGGGTGTGTGTATGTGGTGTGTGGCGTGTGCAGTACTGTGTGGGGTGTGTGTGGTGTGTAGTGTGTGTGCAGCTGTCACCTCTATTGCATGGCATTCTCTACTTACTCACCTGTGGCTCCTTGGTCCCTCGCTGCTGGATGAGGGTGAGCTGCAGGTTGCCCCACCCTGGCTGTGCCTCCTGTGTGTCACCTGGGTCCCTTTGCTCTGGTTTCCTATCATGTCCACTGCGTTTTGTACTTTTCCACACTTAACCGACACTTTGGCTGTCCTGTCTTTCCTCCGCCCCCTGAAATGAAAGGAGTGAACCAGCAGGATAATCTGTCTTCTGTAAATCTGTGTTTCAAATAAGTAAACTTTTAAAGAAACCTTTTAAAAATGCCACTGGCTGTGAAGGACTGCCTCGGGGAGCCAGGTCTGAGCTCCTCTCCTGCGCAGCTCCCTGGCGCAGCGTGCACTCAATGCCGCACCCATGTGTGGATGTTGGGGCTGCCGTCAGCATCAGCCAGCCATGAGGCCAAGCTGAATGCCACCCAGGGCTGAGGCCAGCCACTGCCAGCCCAGCTACACTGAGGGTCGGGTCTGTCCCCTGTGTGCCACTGGGGCCGAGTACTGTCAGTGGTGTCTGCTGAGGCGCTGGGGACAAAGTCATTGGAAATTCGCCCCACTCGACCCATTGCCCCTGCTCCCACATTCAAAGTAGGTGGCTGCCGCTGGGCCAGCTGGTCTTGGGGTCTGTGCGCTGGTCTCGGCTTTTGTGAGTGACTCATTTCACAAGGCGTTGCCTGCCTCTCTGTTGTCCAGGTTGACGTGATGGCAGGCAGGGTCCCCTCCTGCCCGGTCTGCACGGGCGTGGTGAAGCCTGACATTGTGTTCTTCGGGGAGCCGCTGCCCCACAGGTTCTTCTTGCATGTAGTGGACTTTCCCATGGCGGACCTGCTGCTCATCCTGGGGACCTCACTGGAGGTGTGGGGGCTCAGCTGGGCAGGGAGGCGTTGGGGTGCTTCTGGCCTGGAGGCAGGAGGTGGCTCTGGGTGTGGGGTAAGAAGGGTGGGTCCTGTGCTGGGGGATGTGCTGGAGACCAGCTCCAGCTGACTGAGAGCTTGCAAAGGATGCGTGGATCGGTGAGATGATAGGAAGAGATAAGACACGGACCACTATAGCTTGATGCTCATAATGGACAACTCAGCAAAGTTGCCTTCTTTATTTATACATAAATCATCACAAATTTTGCACAACATCCAATTGTTTCATTTTTCATTACATCATGGTTATGAAAATGCAAGAAGCAATCCTAAAAAATATTTTTCTATTTCAAAGAAAACATTCTTAACAAACCATTTCTCATTGAAACCTGCAATCACCTGGCTGAAGCCAGGAACTCCACGGTTGGCAGCGCATGCAGTTACATAGTGACAAGTAGTTCACTTATACTCAAAATCAATTTTTACTAAACACAAACTAACATTGATTAAAATATTAAGAATACAGAATTAAAAGATCATAAATGAGAGGATTTTATAAAAGGATATAACATAGATTCTTTGCTAAATGTTATAATCAAATCATGCATTAATTACGGTCACCTTCACCTAGTGCTGATTCAATTGTTTTTTATTCTTTTGTTAAAGGGCAGTGAAAGGGATCAAGGCAATTCAGCTAATTTATAAACAGAGGGCCTCTACAAGAAACTTCCTTTCATCTATATAAACTATTTTCTTTCCCTAAATATAGATGCCAATATAAGATAGAAATTTTTTTAAAACAGATTTATTATTATTTTTTTATTGGAAAGGCAGATATGCAGAGAGGAGAGACAGAGAGGAAGATCTTCCGTCTGATGATTCACTCCCCAAGTGAGCGCAACGGCCGATACTATGCCGCTCTGAAGCCAGGAGCCTCTTCCGGGTCTCCCACACAGGTGCAGAGTCCCAAAGCTTTTGGCCGTCCTCGACTGCTTTCCTGGGCCACAGGCAGGGAGCTGGAAGGGAAGCGGGGCTGCCGGGGATAGAACCAGCACCCATATGGGATCCTGGGCATGCAAGGCGAGGACCTTAACCACTGCGCCATCGCGCTGGGCCCAAGATAGAAATTTTTATAAATTGTTTTCTTTCCCTAAATATAAGTGCCAGTATAAGATTGAGATTTAAGCCATTTTGAGGGGGTTTTGTTTTGTTTCCTTTTAGAAGATGCTCCACATATTTTGCTTTCTTGTGATAAGAAACTAAAATGTGTCATATCATGTGTTGTAACAGTTTGAGGTGTATGGTAAACAAACTCTTTGTACCTCCATGATTGCCATCTATTCCAGTATATTATGAAGCCGTTTCTTAAGGAAAACATTACTTATACTAGGGCAAACTTCAGGACAAAAATGGGCACATAACAGGATGTTTGGAAAGATAGTGGGCTCAATTGTACTATTGTATATTTTGGCTGTGTGTCATAGCCTTACATTACTAAAGGTGTTTTTATCGTAACATGATTGATCAATTTGAGGTGTCATACCAGTTACAGGAATCACTTCACATTAACAAAAAAACAACAACAATATCCTCAAAAGAATTCTATGAAACATCAGAGAGGTGACTGAGTTCCATACAATGGGTGAGGCAGCAATGAGGTGACCAGAGACATTCTGCCAGGCCTTGTCTCACACTCAGAAACCCCTCGTAGCCTTGCTAACTGAGGAGCGGTGCTCATCACACACCCATGCCATCTGACCCAACTGCATGGCTCCCCACAGGGATGGGTGCCATGCCCAAGGCAGTGATGACCCTATCTAGGGACACGCCCAGGGCACAGGGACATCACAGAGTGTGTGGCTGGCAGGAGGGTAGGGAGGGGGTAGCCGGGTCACTCCGATTAGGCAGGGGAAGTTCAGTTGCAGAAAAGAAGTGATAGCTTTGTAACATAGGGGGTGGCTACTGGCCATGGAGTACCTGCTGTGCCTGTCTTCCAGGTGGAGCCATTCGCCAGCCTGTCTGAGGCTGTAGGGAACTCGGTGCCCCGAGTGCTCATCAACTGGAACCTGGTGGGGTCCTTGGCCTCTCGTCCACGCAGCAGGGATGTGGCCCGGCTTGGGGACGTGGTGCGTGGTGTGGAGGAGCTGGTGGAGCTTCTGGGTTGGACACAGGACATGCAAGACCTTGTGCAGCAGGAAACAAGAAAGGTATGACTACTGTGCAGGGCTTGGGGTCTTCATGGTGTGAAGGCTGGGGTCTGGGGTCCCCTGAAGAGGAGCTGGGTCTGGGGTCCCCTGGTGTGGGGTCTGGGGCTGGGGTCTTCCTGGTGAGGAGTTGGGGCCTGAGGTCCCCTGGTGTGGGGGCTGGGGCCTGGGGTGTCCTGGTAAGGAGCTGGGGCCTGTGGGTCCCCTGATGAGGAGCTGGGTCTGGGGTCCCCTGGTATGGGGGCTGGGGCCTGGGGTTTTCCTGGTGAGGAGTTAGGGTCTAGTCCCCCTGGTGTGGAGCTGGATGACCTGAGGTCTGGCAGGTGATGCAGGTCAACAAGTGGTTGATGTTCCCTGCACCTTGTGGAGGGGCCAGGCTTATACTTGCAAGCTTCTAGATGCAGTTTTGAGGCCACAGATCTGCCTCCTGCCAACTGCCAAAACTTATGATCTTGAGTGGAGTGGCAGAAAGCAGTGAGGGCCATGGGACACGTGGGATCGGCCCCAAGGGTCCCGGTCAGAGCCATGGGGCACGTGGGAGCGACTCCGAAGGTCCCAGTCAGAGCCATGGGGCACGTGGGATCGGCCCCAAGGGTCCGGGTCAGAGCCGTGGGGCTCAGGGCTGCTTTCTGTGATGGGTGGTGTGACACTGTGCATTCATCAGATGTGTTACACCTGCTGTCTGCCCCAGTCCACTACAGCACAGACAAGCACTCTCCCCACCTTCTAGTGCAATCTGTGTCTTACCCAGAGTGGACCTAGCAACTGCTTGGTTACTAAGGGGGTGAGATGGACTTTGTCATCCACATACGGCCCTGCCACCCTCAATTCCAGGATCCAGTTTATTCCTGAACTAGCTGAGGGCCTGGATGTAGGTGCCATTTCTGTGGGATGGCAAGCTGGCTCACAAGCAGTAGGGACCCTGGTCAGGCCAGTTCATAGACCTGGGCGAGGGAAGCATTTTTCCAGCTCTCCTGGCCTACTAGGGAGGCCTTAGAGAAGGTGCTGCTGCCATTCTGGCTCCAGAATTATGGATGTTGGTTGTGGTTTCTGAGCTGTCCACACAGGAACCCCTCCTCCTATGAGGAGAGCCAAGATGTAAACCTGTGTCTGAGTAGGCAGAAGGTCCCCAGGACTGCCACTCTGGTCACAGTGCCAGGCCACACCAGGGGGCCACAGCACTTGCTGTCACAAATCAGATCTCAGCTCCATCTCGTCCCGAGTCTTGAAACGGCCCAGCAGTCGCTCTCACTGTCCATCTCTCCCCTGTGCCACAGCTGGATGGATTGGACAAATAGGACATGGGTGACTCACAGGAAGCCGTATGTGAGGACTGGAGCAGACACTGGCCAGACAAGCACATGTGGTCCTTTCTGCTGAGTCGCCTGGAGCTCTGTGTGCTGACCACCAGCGTGGGAGCTTCGTCCTGGTGGTGGATAGAGCCAAACCAGGGACTGAGTGGCTTGGTCCTAGGGGTCTGGATCTCCTTATTGGCCTCCCTGTAAGTTACACACTTTGTGACATCAGACAGAGTAAACCTCAGCCCAAGTGGACGTCTGTTGTCACTGATTCCTGGGGTCGGGGTGGGAGACATCAGAACAAAGCCCCTTTGTCCAGGTCAGCGCACTTGGAAGCCCTGTCGCTCCTGTGGGGAAAGGACACGGATAGTTCAGCCATTCCCAACTACCAGCATCCAGCCCTGGAATTGTCTCGTGCCTTTGTTGATATCCTGACCCCAGGGCTGTGGGGTGCCCACTGAAAGCTCTGTCCTGAAGAGGTAGCCTGGCCTCACAGCGTGACAGCTATACCCTCACCTGTGCTCACTTCTCTGCCTGTGGGCCACTCCCCATGCTCACCTCCCTGTGTGTGGGCCATTCCCCATGCTCACCTCCCTGCGAGTGGGCCATTCCCTGTGCTTGCCTCCTGTGTGAGCTGTTCCCCCATGCTCACCTCCCTGTGTGTGGGCCATTCCCTGTGCTTGCCTCCTGTGTGAGCTGTCCCCCATGCTCACCTCCCTGTGTGTGAGCCATCCCCTGTGTGTAGGCCATCCCTGTGTTCGCCTCTTGTGTGTGGGCCATTCCCCCATGCTCACCTCCTGTGTGAGCTGTCCCCTGTGCTCACCTCCCTGCATGTGAGCTATCATTTCCACCCTGAACCACACCTCCCTGGATAGAAGCTGACAACCACAACACGCACTGTGGCCATGTTGAAAAACCCCGTGTTTCCCCCTTTCTTTAGTATTTTACATGACGCACAGACATAGGAGCATACATTCTTGCCCAACATCATTTTTATTGTGGGATGTTTTGTGGCTGTCTCATAAAGGGCTTTTCCCTTCACATCATGTGGTTCCCGAGCTTGCTGGAAATAGGTGGGGCTGTTGCCACATCTGCATGTGGCTTCCAGCATCCTCACGCCCAGCCTGACCCTGCCCTGATGTGCTGGCTCGTGTCCAGGCAGGCCCTGTGGTCCATATGCTCTTGTGGCAGCATGAAAACCAACTTCATCTGTGCCTGGAGTCACAGCGGGACAAGGCTGCCAGTTGGGGACAGCATGGCCAGAGCAAAACCTTGGGAGGAAGGGGGAATCCCAGGCTGCGGAGGGGCCCGGGCCCCTCCCGGCTCCAGAGGCAGCACCAGTTTTAGTTTGCAGAGCAGAAGGGTCCTCAGTCCGGGTCCGAGTCGGTGTCTGAGGAGAGCTGCCCTTCCATGGTTTGGCTCATGGCCTCTTGCAGGGGTGTGAGGTGGCCCTGGGGGTTCATGCCCATGGGCTGGATGACCTTCTGCCTGCAGGGGACAGGCAGAATGCTGGGGAGGGGCCACTGAGATGCCACCACCCATTGAGACGTCCACTGCCCAGAGATACCAACCTCCATGCTCACTGCCACTGATGCCCACCGTCCTCTGAGATACCCACTGCTTACTCCCTGAGACACTGAACAGACTCCTGGGGCCTTGGTTTTGTCATCTCTGAAGGGCCCAATATCAACTGGACCTGCACCCTCCCCAGGGCTGTGCCCGAGACCTCCTGACCTCCCAGCCCCCTGCCCACAGCCATCCCACAGTGCACCTTGAAAGCTTGTCAAACATGTTCACCAGCTTCATGGCCTCGTGCTCCTTCTGCTCATCCGTCATGCCTGCCATGGGGTTGGGCGGCCTCTCCTCCACCCTCCCGGTCACTGGGTTGATGCTGTCTCTCAGGAGGGGACGTGTGGATTTATTAGCAGAGAGTTGGGGATGGAAGGGTTGTGGAGGGCCAGGGGGAACGCAGCTGCAGGACGGGTTCCCAGGACACCTGGCTGGCAGACAGCCTGGGCTGGAAAGTGTCCTCGTCCTGCCCCACCCACCCCCCATCCCAACGAGGGCAGCAGAGGCTGAGGCCCACACACCTGGCCTTGGCTTCCTTGTACTCGTCTGTGTCCGTGTCCTCGTCCTCCGAGTACTGACCTTCAGGCCGGCCCCCTGCCATGAGGCCCCGGGCAGCCAGGAGACCGGCAGCGTTCCCATACCCGGTGTACTTGATGAACCGGGGCACTGGGGGACAAGGGGACATCAGCGCTGGACGCTGCCATGAAGGGCCAGGCCAGGGCGCCCCAGCTCACCGCTCTCAGAGCACAGGACAAACAGGAACTCTGCAGCCACCCTCTTCACATCCGTGTCCAGGTGTGTCATGAGCCGGACCAGCTTGTTCCGCAGCTGCTCCCCGACCTCGGGCCGCGTCCGCACGTCACGCAGTGGGGGTAGGACCTGGGCAGGCAGTGGCCCCTGAGCCTGGGGTCTGTCAAACCCCACCCAGGCCAACTCCAGAGCCACACATCTGGGCCCAGGGCCCTGCTCCCATGCCACACACCTAGGCCCAGGCTCCCATGCCACATATCTGGGCCTAGGGCCCCGCTCCGGAGCCACATACCTGGGCCTTCAGGAACTTCCTGGCTGGACGGTGCATGCGGGCACACTCTGTCAGCACGCTCAGCACGGGGGCCACACCCTCCTTCAGCCTGTGCGTCTGCGGAGAAGCATGTGTCAGCTTGACCGTAGACCCAGCGTGGACACTGGCCCAGCTGGTCCGGGCCCGACTACAGCCAGATGCTCATACCAAGGCACAGTACCCAGACTGCCCACACAGCCAACACTCTTGTCCCTGCCCAGCCTCTCTGATGTGAGTGGTAAACAGCTACAAGCAGGGTATCCCACGCACAACAGCCTTGCCTGACCCCTGTCCTCTGCCCAGAGCACCTCCTGTAGGCCTGAGTCTGAGCCACCAATCCCCCAAGGACTGCCCATGCATGCAATAGTGCTGTCTATGGGAGCCCCAAAGGCCACTGGATCTTGGCTGGACCCCCTGCAGTTTTCAGCAAAAGCAGGTACGTGGAGGAAGAGAAGCGAGGCCAGCAAACCACATAATTCTGGCCCAGGCATCCACTACCAGTGTGGATGGCACAGAAACAGCAACCAGAGCCACAGCCACTGGAGGGCCTGCATGGCAAGCCCCGCCCACCCAGAGCAGGCCCTGTTTACCCAGCACCTGCCCAGTGAAGGCTCTGTCCACCAAGCGGCCACTTAGTGAGCCCCACCCACTTGGAGCAGGTCACACCCATCCGGAACCTGCTCAGCAGGGCCCTGCCCACCTGGAGTAGCCGCTTCTCGAGGAAGGCAAGGAGGACCCCGACCACGTCCATGTTGGCCCCCAGGAACTCTAGGCAGCCTTCGTGGGGCTCCAGGGTTAGAAGGACATCTAAACACCGCAGGGGCAGGTTCCCCAGGAGGTTCACGGCATGGCTGGGGGCAGAGGAATGGGCTGCAGCAGGTGCCCTGGGACACCCTGCTGAGACCACAGGGGATCTGACCCAGGGTCTTGGGAGCCACAGTTTCCACACATGCACTGAGGCTGCGGCTGACCTCTGGGACACCTCCCTGCTTAGCCTAAACCTCCAGGCCAGGCCATCCAGTTCTAGGAGCCAGGATGAGGAACTACTTCTCATCCCTGCCTCTGACTCCTCCCCTAAACCCACAGCAGTCATCCCAACCACTTTACAAGCATCCCACAAAGCAGTGGGGGGCAGCCTAGGCCCAGTGACACCCATCAAGACTAGGCACCAAATGAGGAACCAGGTTCCCTCCAGGCCTCACCCTTCCCGTGCACCCACTATCCCAGCCCACAGGCCCCGCCCTCCCCATGCACCCCACCTTCTGAGCCCACAGTCCCTGCCCTCCCCCATACACCCACCATCCCAGCCCACAGGCCCCACCCTCACCCGTGGAATTCCTCCGTGCGGTCTCCCGCAGTGACCATCAGGCAGTGGCGCAGAAGCATCCCCAGGCGCCGGTACAGGGCAACATCTTCCTGACCATGGAATAAGGACTGCTGTGGCAGGAAGCCCCGCCCACCCCAACTCAGGCAACCCAGGGATCAAGAGTAGCTCCCCACACTTAGATCCTGGAGATGCTGCTGAGAGTGGGGCTAGCGGAGACCCTGACGTTTTCCTGACAGGTGGGCAGACTCACAGCATGACGTCAGGGCACCCTTCCCAGGTGGTGACGTCACTCTGCATCTGGCTCCCCCACCCAGCCTGTGACCTCAGACACCCCATCATCCAGGGTCCCTCACCTCCTCCGCCTCCCCCTTGACTGAGTCGAAGGTGATGTTGAAGAGCACTTTAAGGATCTCCATGGCGCGCTCTGTCTCTGGCAGGGGCAGCGACTCAGGCGGGCCCAGGGTGGGCGTCGCACCCAGCGTGTGCTGCAGGGCGTCGGTCAGCAGGTGCACCCCGTGCAGCTCGGCGAACAGCTGCCGGCGAACGTCGGTGCGCAGCGCGGTCAGCAGGAATAGCAGCCGCAAGTCGAAGAAGCGCACATCGTGTGGAACGCTCCCCTCCCGGTTCAGCTCCACGCGCGCCGCCAGCCGCACTACCAGGCCGGCCTCGGCTGCCAGCGCCTGTGCCGCGGGGCTGCTGAGCACCAGATTGCACAGGCACTTGAGGGCCTCGAGGGCCACGTCGGCGTCCGCCAGCTCCGGGCCGCCCTCCGAGGGGGCGACGCCGGCGAGGCGGGCCAGGGCCTGCAGGCTGGGGCGGCCGGCGAACGTGTCCAGGCAGCCGCGGTCCCGGGACAGGATGCGCACGCTCTGCAGCCAGGTGACGCGGTGGGCGGCCGGCAGGCCCCGCTGCAACGCGGACACCAGCAGCTCCGCGAGCCTCTGCGGGCGGCACAGCGGTGGGTTGGTCGGGGCCTTCTCCGTGCCTCCTCCGGGGCCGCCACCCGCCCGCGCGCACCCACCTTCCGGTCCTCGCGCTGCGCGTCGTCGAAGCTGAAGCTCTCTGAGTGCTGCGGGGACACGCGGTGGATGCGGGCGCAGACCCCGCCCCGCAGCAGGCCCCGCCGTGGGCGCACCTGCCCCGCACCGGCTGCATCGGCTGCACCCACATCATCCTCACCAGGCCTGACCCGCACGGGTCGCACCTGCACTGCCCCACCTGCAGGGCCGCACCGGCTGCACCTGTTGCCGGCACCCGCTCCCCGCACGGGCTGCATCTCCCCCTGCACCGGCCTGCCCCACCTGCACCAGCCCCTGCACCCAGCCTGCCCCGCACGGGCTGCACCCACTGCCCCTGCACCCGCTCCCTGCACCGGCCGCGCCCGGCCTGCCCCATCAGCCCCCGCTCCCCGCACAGGCCCCACCTACCCCCGCACCCGCCACGCTCACCTCGCGGTTGTACGCCTGCAGAGCGTCCACGCTCACGTCTTCCCTGCCAGTCTCCACGGCGTCCGCAACCGCCCCGGGTTCCATGGCGCCCGGAAGACGCGGTCCCGGGCCGCACCCGCCGGCCCCGCCCTGGCCCGGAAGCCCAGGGCCGAGCCGAGGGAGGGCAGCGCGGCGCCGGGGAGCGCGGGGAGACGGGCGGTCAGGAGCCGGCGGCGTCCCTGCGGACACCGGCCAGGGAGTGGGGACGGGCTCCGGTGAAGGCGGCGCCGCCGCGGGGCTCACGCTGCCCGGCCCGGCCCAGCCGCCACGCCCCTGCACCAGCACCCGCGGCCGGAGTGACTGGCACGAGAAATGACCAACCAGCGCCCGCGGCCGGAGTGACTGGACAAGGAATGACCAATCGGCGTGGTCGAGCCTCCACGCCCCCGTGTCATCGCCCGCGGCCGGAGTAACTGGCAGGAAGAACGGCCAACCACCGCCCGCTGTGCAGCTGCCTCGCCCTCCTGCTTCCGGTTGTGGCGCCATGTCGTCACGCCCCTCGGCGCTCCGGGCCGTGGGCGGAAGGGGCGGTCCCTGCCGAGGCCGGTCCGAGCAGCTGGACTGTCCCTCCGCTGGACGGTCCGCGGCTGCTGCGCCACGTCAGGACCCGAGCCGCCGGGCCGGAGAAGCGCGCCATGGCCGACTGGGCTCGCGGTGAGCGGGAGAAAGGGACCGGAGCGGGGGGTGTGCGCCCTAGGCGGTCCCTGCGACCGGCGGGCAGACCCTGTGTGGGGTCCGGGCGGGAGTGCCGGGAAGGGCCACGCGCCGAGGTGGGCAGGGGCGCCAACCCATCTTCTGCTGGGTCTTCCCGCCTGACCGGGGCCCCCTGCGGGTTCTGCATGGCGTCCACTGGAGCCAGAGGGCACGGGCCGGTGGCTCCCGGCGTGGCTGGCCTGGTCGGGGCGCCCCACTGCTCGACGGACACAGGTGGACGTCATCGGGTGCCACGCTGCCTGTCTCCGCCCCAAGGTGGTCGAGCTCTCGGCCTGCTCAGGGTTGCCGTGGGCTCAGGTCCCCGGGCCGGGAGCGTGGTCAGGGTGCTGACCCTCGGCCCCTCTCCTCGTAGCCCAGAGCCCCGGCGCCGTGGAGGACATCCTGGACCTCGACAACAAACGCATGGCCGACAGCCTGGCCTCCAAGGTCACCAGGCTCAAGTCGGTGAGTGGTTCCTCTTTGCCCCTGGGGACTGGAGCCAGAGGGCATGGGCCGGTGGCTCAGCTGTGTTAGGGGACAGGGCACCTGGCCTGGCGACTCACAGGCGAGCTCTGGTTGGTCTGAAGGGGAGAGCCGGCCCACGTCCTGTGTGTGCTCTGGCCCGACCTCGCTGCTGTGTGTCCCATCCAGTTGGCCTTGGACATCGACAGGGATGCGGAAGACCAGAACCGGTACCTGGACGGCATGGTAAGGGACTGTGATTGGCTGCCCGCTGCTGCCCGTCAGCTGCAGGTGGTGAGGCCGCCCCAGTGACCTGCCATCCCTCCCCCACCCCCAGGACTCAGAGTTGGCCAGTGTTACCAGCCTGCTCACTGGGAGTGTGAAGCGCTTCTCCTCTGTGGCCCGGTCAGGGCGGGACAACCGCAAGCTGCTGTGTGGAATGGCTGTGGGCCTGATGGTGGCCTTCTTCATCCTCTCCTACCTCTTGTCGAGGGCAAGGACGTGAGCGGGAGGGGCCACAAGGGGCGAGTGTTGTCCCCCAGCCTTGGGCACATGCTTTGGAGTCACCGTTGTGAGTCCCAATCTCTTCCTGGATGACCGCTGCCCTGTGCTTCTGTCTGTGTGACTGGACCCCTTCTCTATGGGGAAACCAAGGTTAACTCCACCCAGCCCTGGACCTGGTCAGAGAAAGGGGTGGGGGTGGAGCCCATGGCTTCTGATGGGTGAAGGTGTCTGTCCTGGGCTCCCCTGGGTAACACTACAACCTGTGGGGGACGCGGCCAGGGCCCAGGGCTGGGGGCTGGGAGCTCCTCAAGGATGCGGCCAGGGCACGGGGGGCAGATGTGTTAGCTGAAGAACAGATCTAGCAGTGGGCTGGCTGGGCCTTGTGGAGTCAGGCGGTGGGAGGGAGGCCCTTGGAAGGACCTGCTGCCGTAGAGCTGCTGGACACTGTCACAGGTTTGCCGCATTCCCCCACTCCCAGCCACTAGCACTTCGCCCTAGCCCGGGCTACCATCCCTTTTCATTTTTGAAAGGTTTGTGTATTTTAAAAGATAAGAGAGGTCTTCCATCTGCTGACTCACTCCCCAGATGCCCACAACAGCTGGAGTTAGCTGAGCTGAAGCCAGGTCTCCCACGTGGGTACAGGGGCCCATGGACTTGGCCATCCTCCATTGCCTTTTCAGGCTTCAGCAGGGAGCTGGATCAGAAGTGGAGCAGCCGGGACTAAAACCCCCATGTGGGACACTGGGATTGAAGGCTCTGTCTTCACTGTGTGACGGTTATCACCACACTGTGATTTCCCGGAGCTACCCTTCCTGTCCCATCTGCCTCTCCTTGGCCCTCACCCCCAGCTTGGGCAGCCCCATGTTCACAAGACGACCTGTCATTGGTGGCCACAGCTGCCTCGGAGTGCCATGTTGACCTCCCTCAGCTGCAGCCTGGTGCCTGGACGACCCACACTGGACTGCCTGGGGCTTCCCTTTCCTTACATATGCTCATCAGGATCCCGATCCAGTCACCTGGTACACTAGACCCTGTCACTTGGACTCCCTCCCAACCCGATCACCTGGCCCCCCTGACCTGGTCTCCTGGCCTACCCGACCTGGTCACCTGGCCCCCCTGCTGCAGCTGCCTCGACTCCTGAGTTTCCAGGAGAAATCACAGCCCCACCTCCACCCTCTGGTCTGCCATCCCTGGACCCTCCAGGCTGGACTGGGCTAGGCTCTGCCTTGTCCTCAGCTGTCCCTTTGCAGGCTCCTCAGGGCCCTTGTTGTGCTCCTGTGCCCCGGGCCATGTGTCCATTTCCTGTGGACTTGGCTCATCTGGTGCCAGGGCGCCAGAAAAGGCTTTGACCCTGCCCCACACCAGCTCCATCTGGCTCTGGCAGCCCGTCTAGCCCCTCCTGGGTTACTGTGCTTTGCAAGTCCTCCAGTCAGGCTGGATCCCATGCCACCACCAGTCCTGTGTCCTGTGGACCCTGTGCCTGTTGCCTCAGCCCTGGGAAGGCCACATGTGGACCAACTGCCGGGGTCAATCTGTGTTGTGAAAGGCATGGCGCCTTAGCTTTGGAGATGTGCAATAAACATGATGTCATCTCCAGTTGTACATGGTCTGTTGTCCTTGAGCTGACCTGGGTCCCCAGCCAGCTCTGGTTCCTAGGGGTGCCCATTCAGTGCCCTACCCACCCCTGCACTGTCTACTGCTTTTGTTCGGTTGCCTGCAGTGTATGCAGGGGAGATGATTGGCCTCTGAGAGGAAGTAATAGTGGTAGCAGTGAGTGGCCTGGCCTGGTATAGCTGAGGGAGAATGGGGTGACAACTCCATGGGGTGTGTCTGACAGCTACCGCCCTCTTCCAGATCTGGGGGGAGATGCAGGCTCTACTCTTTAAGGGCTGACGCCACCCCTTTGTGCTGCCCCTTCTGCGCCTGACAGACCTCCTGGTGCTTCAGTGGAACATGTCAGGTGGAGATGAAGCGGGCTGCATTGCCTGGTCAGCCCTGGGACAAACAGGTGTCTTGGGCATACCACCTGCCTGGCAAGCACCAAGGTTCCTCCCAGCATGATAGCCAGCCCTAGAGCTGGACATGGACTTGGGAACCTTCATCTCTGTTGGCTGGACAGCTACAGCACCAAGTGGCCATGGGAGAGGGACATCAGGCTTGGGCCCTGTACCCCCACCTAGACCCTGGAAGCCATGTCCACTGGAAGCTGCATTCTTCTCTCAACATAACATTTACTAATGGAATCCATGATTTATTAAACAATTTGGGCACTGCAGGAAACAAGATTAACAAATGGGAAATAGTATAGAAAAAGGTCACAAGGTCATGGTGGCCTGGGCACGCCTGGGCTGCCTACAGGACCAGGCCATCTCAGCCCTGCCACTGGAGGACGGTCCAGCCCCGGGGGCCCAACTGTGGTAGCTGAGCCAGGCTATTCCACGTCCACCACCAGGGGTGTCATGTAGTCTGAATGTTTGATGCCAAAGGTGACGATGGGGGCGCAGGGCTTGGTTAGGGTCACCTGGGAAAGAAGTGGTCATGGGAGAGCTGGGGTCACTCTGGTGGGGCTGGGTGGTGCAAAGCCAGGCCTGACCACAGCACTCTCAGCCGTGACTGTCAAGGCACCCAGGGAGGTAGGTGGGAATTGGAGTTCAGGTTCCTGCACCAGAGGGATGGCCTCTGGGACAGGTGCTGGACACACCCAGGGCCCTGCCCCTCTGCTCCCATTCCCTGCATCTGGTCAGGGCTCTGGGCTCCTGACCCCACCCTGCCTTCTCCCCTCTGCTCCCATGCCCTTCCTGCACCTTTTCCGGGCTGTGGGCTCCTGGTCCTGGCTTGAGGGTCTTGTCCCCAGGAGGTGCCACCCGGGCAGCCATGGTGTACTGCGGAGCTTTGAACTTGGTTGCTTGCACATCAGGCTGGCGGTAGGCTGCGGGACCTGGGGTCTGGAGTGCAGGAATTAGCAGGGTTCTGCCTGCACAGCCATGGGGTGCCCCAATGGCAACTTTTAGATCCCAGGGAGCCCTTAGCTGGGGCCATGATCCATGGAGATGACACCCCCTTTTCATGGACAACCTATGTTGGGTCTCCTCCTCGGTCTCAACTTTGCTGGTGGTCACAGCTCAGTTGTGCCATTGTGGGCTCCTCCCTTCCATGAATGTAAGTGTGTGTGTGTGTCACAAGCCCATGGCCTTCTCCTGGCTGTGTGTGTGTCAGACACAAGCCTATGGCGTCCTTCTGGCTGTGTGTGTGTGTAACGAGCCCGTGGCTTCCTCCTGGCTGTGTGGGTGGGTGTGTGCACACGCATGCTCATGAGTCCACAGCTCTCTCCCAGCTGGGACTGTCCTGGTGCTGGCCAGCTCATCACTTCCCCATGCTTGAATGGCTGTCCCAAGCCTTCTGCACCCCCTCCCTGAGGTGGTTCATGGCTTGTTTCTGCTGTGTCTGAGACTGGGTCTCCCTGAGTGCCCCTCTCCTGGCCCATCATCTGCCCCTCCCCAGGGCGGAAACACCTAGAAGGGACAGACTCTCAGGGAGGGGTCTTTGATCTGTCACGGGTGGGGCTGTCCTTGCCTTGTGCAGGTCATCGCTGAAGCTGCCTAGCTTGCTGCGGCCCTTGATGGAGAAGGAGGGCTGGGATACCTTGCCGACCGTGTGGGGTCCCATCACCATGGGAAGCATGTATGCTGCTGGGCCTGTGGAGAGCAGAACCTCAGGATGGGACTCCCAGCTCCTCCTAGCTCCTCCCAGGGACTTCCAGCTTCTCCCAGTTCCTCCCAGAGTCTCCCAGATCCTCCCAGGACTCCCAGCTCCTCCCAGGGACTCCTGGCTCCTCCCAGCTCCTCCCAACTCCTCCCAACTCATCCCAGGAACTCCCACTCCTCCCAGGATTCCTAGTTTCTCCCAGCTCCTTCCAGAACTCCCAGCATCTCCCAGGTCCTTCCAGGACTCCTAGCTCCTCCCAGCTCCTCTCAGGAACTCCTAGCTCCTCCCAGCTTCTCCCAGGACTCCTAGCTACTCTCAGCTCCTCCCAGGGACTCCTAGCTCCTGCTAGCTCTTCCCAGGACTACCAGCTCCTCCCAGCCACACCCCAGGGACTCCTGACTCCTCCCAGCTCCTCCCTTGGGGCTCTCCCTGTCCCACGGGTGGAGGTGGACCTGGAGTGCTGTCCACACGGAAGGTCTTGGTCCGGGCAGAGATGGAGTGACTGGGTGCCGAGTCAAAGACGTGCTTGGTCGATTTCTCAGGGAAGTAATCTCCTGGGAAAGGGTGTTTGCTGAGCTGTGTCCACCAGGGCATCCAGGGTGCAGGCACTGGCTTTTGGATCAGGCACAGGGTTTGGCCACAATCTAGCTGCATCCCATCCCCTGCCTGGGGCACACCCTCACAGGACACTGGCCAGGGCCCTCACCTGGGCCGGGCGTCATCATGGTCTTGGTGTGGTAGCGCCCCAGAATGGAGTAGGCAGGGCCAAGGTCCTTGCCAGTCCTTAGGATCTTGGGGTTCACGCTGTAGCGGGGCCCTGGAGAGCAGTTCTCAGCCAGGAGCATGGGGGCCCCGCGGAAGCTGTAGGCTGGCGCACGCAGCTTGGTGGGTGTGTGTTTCACGAATCCTGTGGGTGGAGCAGGTTCCATCACCCACCCCAGATCCATCCTCTCCACACCCTCCTCACCCTCCTCACCCTCCAGCACCCTATAACCATCCCCACTCCCCATGCCCACCTTGTTCTCCCTATACCCACCCCATTCTCTAGCACCCCACAACCATCCTATTCTCCATACCCACCCTGTCCTCCCCACATCTACACCCACCCTGTCTTTCCCACACCTACCCTGTCCCACCCTGACCTCACCCTACACCTACCCTGTTCTCCCCACAGTCACACCCAAAACCATCCTCCAGCACCTCAAGCCATCCCATTCTCCATACCCCTACCCTATCCTCACAGCATCCTACATACCCCATACCCACCCCATCCTACCCACCCACCATCCCCCCAGCACCCTGACCTCACCCCACACCCTGCCCACCAAGGCATCAGCTCTTACCCGTGGTGGGTGGGATCAGATACTTAGGCCCAGGACTGCTGTAGAGGGCCATGATGGGCCCCCGGGGGCGATGGGGCCTCCAGGTGCCCACCCATACCTCCTCCGCCATGGCAAGCTCTGTCCAGGAGGGTGGCAGGAGCTGGGGGACCTTGACTCAGTTTGGTCCAGTCCCCCATGTCCCCATATGACTCCAGTTAACTGACACCAGTCAGACCAAGAATAACAGCCTCATGGGATCAGGGTCAGAGAGGGGTCTGTGTGCTGGGGCTCACCCACGGGGTCAGGGTCAGGGAGGGGCCTGTGCACTGGGGTCACTCATGGTGTCAGGGTCAGCAACAGGGGGGGCCTGTGTGCTGGAGCTCACCCATAAGGTCAGAGTCACGTCAGGGTCAGGGAGGGGCCTGTGCGCTGGGGTCACTCATGGGGTCAGCGTCCCAAGTGGTTCCTCTCTCCAGGCTTGGGGGCAGCCCCTCCCCTCTGCTTTCCTAGTTGGTGTTCTGACCACTAATCCTACTCTCAGGACCTGTACCTCTGGCCCTGCTAGTCCTACAGGGGCCTGGTGGGTTCCTTCTACTTGAATACCCCAACATGTTGGCAAGGAGCAGGTGACCACAGGGGTGGTTTTGACCGCATCTCTGCCCAGGATGGGGAGTGGGCTGGTTTTGGGGCGGTTACCTCTTCTGGGCAGGAGTGGTTTCTTAGGGACCCAGCCTGATCAGGGGGTACTCTGCCCCGTTCCTGCAAATGGCACATGAGAGCCGTGTCCCTGGTATGGCCTGGGTGGGTCTTGGGTGCGGCTCGAGGCTGGGGTTCTAGATCACAGTCCTTGTGATGAAGACAATGGTCCCTCCCGGGGCCCTCCCTCCCCAGGGTCCCCTTGCCCAGTGCTGGCTGGGACTGGGGATGAGGACAAAGCAGATAGGGACTGTGGCGACCCTGGGGAGCCCTCCCTGTGCAGAGACCCCTGAGCAGGTGCAGCATGTCCAGGTGAGGTTCAGGCCACGCTGTCCGCCCTGTGACCCCAAAGACCCTGCCAGCCTCTCTGTGCCACTGCTGGCCAACCCAGCCCTTGGGCCTGGGTTCCTGTGAGCAGACAAAACACATCCCTGCCTGGAACGCCCCACTCAACGCTGGCCGACTTCCTGGGTGGGTCCAGGACCTAGTGCCATCTGCAGGCGGGGCCTGGTGGGTGCTTATCAACTTCCCCAGCTCTGGGCACATCCTCTCAGCTCCACACCCCCTTGCCAAACCTCTCCTGCCTCCTTCCTGACCAGGCTCCCCTCTGTAATCCCTCAGCTCAGGAAATGTTGGCCTGGATTCTGTTTGGGGTATGCAGTCTGCATGTTCCTTATGTGGTTGCCCCTTGTAAACCATGTGTGTTAGTCTGCCTGAGTCCATGTGTGTCTGTGTGTCTGAGTCTGGTTCCTGTCACTGTGTGTGAGTCTGTGTGTGCCATCACCATGTGTGAGTCTCTGTGTGTGTCATCACTGTGTGTGTGTGTGTCTGCTGGGGTTCGTGCAGTGGATGTGGGGGACACAAAGGTGTGAAGAGTACTGTTCCATTGCAGACGGCCTCAAGGAATTTCCTGCTTCATGGCAGGGACTTGCATCGCAGGGCCCAGCAGGGCCCAGCGGATGTCTCTACAAACATCTGAATGCAGTTCCACCTTTTGCATGGACACCGGACCACCCTGCTGAGAATTCTGTAATCTATTTAGGCATTGTCTGCCACTGTGAGTTGGTCTTTACTATCAGTGCGAGCTTGGAAGTTGATGTTGCTGATAAGTCTTTCCAAAGGGCCTTTTCCAGTTCATGCTGTCTGTCTCTGCTGCCCCCATTGACCACCCTTAATCTTCTGGTTCCCCCTTTTTTGTGATGCATTTCTTCCCTTAACTGATTCAAGATTAAGTTGTAGAATGAGGATTGTAGTAGGAATGTGTTACTGATCGATATGCACCATCTATTGAGAATTTCTATTGAGAGCTTTAAGGTGAAACAAATGGCAGAATTATCCTTGGAAACACCCACTTGACCATGACTTAAAAGTCTGTGCCAGAGCTTGTGACTGCTTCTGTAAAAATGAAGGGGACAGCTTTCTTGGATTGTCCATTATGATCCTGAAATTATAGTGATTCATTTCTTTTTTCTATGCCTACTCCACACACCCTTCTCAAGTTCTGAACTTGGCTGGAGCTGGACTCCAACATGAGTCTGTGTCTGTGTGAGTCTGTGTGTGCCCATGTGAGTCGATGTGTGCCATCACCATGTGTGAGTCTGTGTGTGTGTGGCTATGTTCCTGCTCTGTCCCCTGTGCAGAGAGAGAGACAGAGGCCAGGACCTGGGCTGCAGAAGCTTTATTAATGGAACAGTCTGAGGGTGAATTTTTACACATGGGGAGAAGGAGGTGGCGGCGTGTCCATGTCCACAGCTGCTTGTGCTGCTGGTCCTGGGGCTGCCTGGGTCCATTCAGGCCTCACTCACGAGCTGTCCTCCCCGCCCAGCACTTGCATCTGGAAGACAGACAGTGAGGCCCACAGAGCTGAGCCACAGGCCCACCAGGCAGACGGGGCGGGGGGGCAGCCTTAGGGGTGCTGCTTGTGAGTGGATGAGAGGTGCAGACATGAGACGTGTGTGCTGCCATGCATGTTTGAAGCAAGTGAAAGTGTCAGTGTGTATGCCGTGTGTATTCCCTTGCACCTGTATGTGGGCACCTGCTGGTAGGCACGTAGCCTGGGAACCCCAGGGCAGCAGGCCTGGATTATGAAATTGTTGCGTGGGAGAGAGCCTGGGAATGTCTACCATGGCTGCCTGAAGCCAGCTAGAGTGTGTTGGGCAGGAACTGGGCTTCCAAGAACCCCACCCCTGCCCTGACTGCCCCCCACCCTGGCTTGCCCCCGCCTCACACCAGCAGCTTGAGCAGGTCCTCTTTGTGCACCGGCTGCAGGCCATCCAGGCAGGACTTGAGCTCTGTCAGTGCCGCCCTGGCACCCTCGTTAACGTTGTACTTGCCCAGCGGCCCCTCCAACAGCTCCTCTACGGTCCCCACCAGCAGTGTCTGCAGGAACTCCATGAAGAACTCATTGTCATCCTCAGCAGTGGCTGACCCTGAGTCATGGGGATGACAGGGATGCTGGGGAAGGTTCTGCCTCAGGGCTGTGACTGACTCCCCAGGTGTGGCCCCCAGCCCCTAGGTGGACCCACTCTTCTCCAGCAGCCAATTTTCCCTGAGACTCTGGTGTTGGGTAGGGCTGCACTGACCTGGACCCCAGGGTTGTCCAAAGACTGACCTGGGCTGGGGTTCTTGGGTTGAATGGGCAGTGGGGTTCCTGGGAGGGGTTGACGCCGGATTCTAGCCCCCCCATACCCCACTCTGGACACTCACCACAGATGCAGAGTAAGGCAAGCGCCAGGAGCAGCAGAGCCCCAGAGCCCTTCATGGCAGCGCTCTCCTGACACCCCAACACCTGGGCTCCTGGATTTTATCCCTCAGCAGGTGGCAGCGTGCCTGGATGGGGCGGGCGGGACTGTCAGCCATTGAACAGGAGGCTTGCCCTGACGTTGAGCATGCCCTGGGGCTGTAGGGGAGAAGGAAGTGGGAGAGCACAGGATGGGGGCGGGGCCGAGCAGGAACCTGAGTGAGGGGACCCCGGGTTCTTGGCTGGGAGGTGAGGGGAGGGGCATGGACCTTTGGTTGTGATTGGCCTTGAGGATACAGGAACCCTAGCCTGTGCTTTCTGTGCTGTGCGCTTGGATTAGGGTCTGGTGTCTCCAATGTTTTGGGCAGGAGAGGGTGTGGCCGCAGTGTGGGAAGAGGGTTGAACTGTGCTGGGGCCCAGGAAGCAGCGGTCGAAGCTGGGCTCTTGGCGAGGACAGACGAAAGGGGCGTGTTGGCCGGTCCAAACCTGGGAATACAGCCCAGGGCAGCATTAGCTGGATTCCCACCTGTACCGCCCCCCCCTTCTGCCAGCCGCCTTCCCAGGGGAGGGAGTGTAATTGGGGCTTGTGCCTCCTGGTCTCTGCTGCCACCTGGTGGCGTTCATGGGGAGACCAGCTCCCCTGTTGACAAGAAGGTGGGGGATAGAGGAGAGGAGGCATAGGACATGGGTATGGGTGGTAAGCTGCTGGGTGCTGAGAAACTGAGTTATAGATGCTGAGCTGGGCTGGGTGCTGAGGTACTAAGTGCTGGGTGCTGTATACTGAGCTGCTGGGTGCCGGAGACCAGCTCCGGCTGACTTGAGAGCTTGGAAAGAATGCGTGGATCAGCGAGAAGACTAGATGAGGAGACATGGACCACTATAGTGTGATGCTCATAATGAACAACTCAAAAAAGCTGCCTTCTTTATGCAGAAATCATCACAAGCTTTCGTATAACATCCAGTTGTTTCATTTTTACTTCATGGTTAAAAGAATGGTTACAAAAACAATCCTAAAAAAATTATTATTTTCCCTCTAAGAAAACATTTTCAGCAAACCATTGCTCATTCAAACTTGCAGTCATCTGGCTGAGGTCAGGAATTCCATAGTTGGCAGTACATGTGGTTACATAGTAACAAGTGGTTTACTTATATCCAAAATCAGTGTTCACTAAACATAAACTAATATTACTTAAAATATCTAGAGTACAGAATTAAAAAGAAAGTCCATAAATGAAAGGAATTTATAAAGGCATATATCATAGATTCTTTTTTAAATCTTATAATCAGTCATATGTTAATTACCATGACCTTCACCTAGTACTGATTTGTCTTTTGTTCTTTTGAAAAGGATCAGGGCAACTCAGACTTTCTACAAACAGAGGGCCTTTACAAAAAACTTTTTATCTTTTCAAACCAATTTCTTTCCCTAAATATAAGTGACAATATAAGGTAGAAATTTTGAGCCATTTTTCTTTGGGGTTCACATTTGTCTCCTTTTAGAAGATGCCCCATGTACTTTCTGCTTTCAGTGGTGAGAAAGCATTTTCATGTGTTGTACAAACTCTTTGTATCTCTATGATTGCCATCTGTTCCAAGATGTTATCAAGCCATTTCTTGAGGAAAACATTACTTATTTTACGGCAAGTTCCAGGACAAAGGTGGGCACATGACAGGATGTTTGGACACATTGTGGGCTCAGCTGTACTATTGTATGCTTTTAGCTGTGTGTCATTGCCTTAAGTTGCTAAAGATGCTTTTACCATACATGATTGATCAGTTTGAGGTGTTATACCAGTTACAAGATATCGGGGGTCCTCCTGTCCCGTGGAAGAAATCACCCGACACTTTTGAGAGAGTCTCTGAGGCGCTTTATCCCGATCTTCCATTAAAAACCGTTATGTCTGTTATTTCCGTTAAGCTGACGCCCCTCCCCTGCCAAGCCCCCCGCTTATCTGTCAAACCTGTCCAATCAGCTTAAAGATAACCAAGACAGACTAATCAGGGCAAAGGGCCAATCACAGGGCAGGAAATTGTCAGTGCCCCCAACAGCAAGAATGATTTCACATTTAAAATATTTTTATTGCAAAGTCAGATATTCAAAGAGGAGGAAAGGCAGAGAAGAAGATATTCTGTCCCCTGATTCACTCCCCAAGTGACTGCAATGGCTGGAGCTGCACCTATCTGAAGCCAGGAGCCAGGAACTCGTCCGGGTCTCCCACATGGGTGCAGGGTCACAAGGCTTTCTGCTGTCCTTGACTGCTTTTCCAGGCCACAAGCAGAGAGCTGAATGGAAAGCAGGCTGCTGGGATTAGAACCTGTGCCCATATGAGATTCCGGTGCATTCAAGGTGAGGACTTTAACCGCTAGGCCACTGCACTGGGCCCGAATCATTTCACATTTGCTGAAAAACAACGACCTCAGGAGAATTCTGTGAAATACTAGAGAGGTGATTGAGTGTCCACACAACGGAGTGAGGCAGCAATGAGGTGAATAGAAACATTCTGCTAGGCCTTGCCACACAGCCAGAAACTCCTCATAGCTTTGCTAATTGAAGAGCAGTGCTAGTCACTTCCTTGCTCCATCTGTCCCAATTGCATGGCTTCCCACAGCTGGGGACTGAGATAATGAGTGGTAGGTGCTGGGTGGTGAGCTGCTGGGTGCCAAGTGTTAGGTGCTAGGTGTTCTGGGTACTGAAGTATGGCACATGTTTAGTGGAGAGTCCAGCAAGCCCTAGCACTGATGCAGGCTGCAGGATCTACCACCATGGGCTGGAAAAAGGAGCTTCCAGGGGTTACGCCAAGGGGACTGTAAGGAGGGTGCTTCCTTAAGGGTCTACTTCCCTTCTGGACATCTGTTACCTGTCCCAACATGTGGGGGACCTGGATCACCTGTGGTGACACACGGGGACGTCCATCACATGTGGTCACACACAATGACATCCATCACCTGTGGTCACACAAACATTGGGACATCCATGGCCTGGGGTTACACAAACATTGGGACGTCCATGGGCTGGGGTCACACAAACATTGGGATGTCCATGGCCTGGGTCACGCACACAGGGAATCTTGGGAACTGGACTAGGTCCCTGGCTCCGCCCTGCCACCACCTGTTTGTGGCAGGAAGAGTCAGGGCAGTGTTCAGATGTAGGGTTGGGTCAAAAGGAGCCCTCTGCAGTGTGGCGTCCTTGGGGGCGGGGTGCCTAAGCCAGGCTAGACCCAATGCCTGGGATTCAGGCCATGGTTACTGCTGCCACATGGTGAGCAAGCAAGTCTTTGGCTTTGGGTGGCCAGTGTGCCTACTTGGTGCCAGGCTCTGTGTGCTGGCTGCCCGGCAGTGAGCTCTAGGGTTTTTAGGATATGTAATTGCTGCCTAAGTACATCCATGGATAAGGCCAGTCTGAGTGTAGGTAAGGATGAATCCTGTGTGACTCCCAGTGACGGGGTCACGGAACTTGCTGGCAAGTGTGGGGACTGAGACCTGGTGGTTTGGAGGGGAGAGTTTATAATATCTATTTGGGCCAGACTTATTCACCACCCCATGGGAGTCCTGAGATGGGCTGTTAGCATAGAGCATCACTGACTGCCATGTGCCAGTCCACCCAAAAGCTATGGCTTGGGGCCTGTCTGCCAGGGCTAGGTGCCAGTACTTGACTGAGTGTTGAAACAGGGGATGGGTCACATTAGGCAGGGCCATGACACTAACCAGCATGCGAGAGAACCATATCTGGGGGTAGATTTTGTGAGTGATGTGTGGGCCCAACCCCGTGGAAATACAAGTCCCACTGGTTAGCTCAAGAGTTGGTGGTCCAGGCCTTGTACTTGCTAGCACATACAAAAATCTGGTTTGAGAACACCTCAGACAAAGTTTCTTTGGAGATTTCCCCAATTGAAATGCTGGACTCAGAACCCTAACCAAGAAAAGAGAGAAGACAGAACAGGTTAACCAACCATCTCAGCTATATCTTGGCAGTGAAATACGGGGCAAACAGAGACTCTATGATGGACTATGTCAATCAATGGATTCTTCAAGGACCTCATAGTGCTTGGAGTGGCAAGATTGGCAGCAATTCATTTTTTTTAAATTCTTTTTTTTAAAATAAAATTTATTTTGACATTCTTTACATAGTTAGTTAGAGTAAGAAGGTTCAAGGGCTACAGGAAAGTGGATAATACTAGTATGTTTTCCATATTGTTACCTTCATGTTTAAAGGGGGGTTTTAAGGGAGAACGCCCACCCAATTTCCCACCCTCCCCAGGTCCCGGATGTAGGGCATGCTCTGAGGTTCTTGCTCAAGTGGTTTTGATATTGCCACAGTTATGAATTGCTGTCAGTCTTGCCACTCCAAGCACTATGAGGTCTTTGAAAAATCCACTGATTGACATAGTTCATCATAGCTGAGATGGTTGGTTGACCCGTTCTGTCTTCTCTCTTTTCTTCGTTAGGGTTCTGAGTCCAGCATTTAGATTAGGAAGATCTCCAAAGAAATTTCTTGTATGTGCTAACAAGTACAGGGCCTGGCACCATCCATCGCCCCAATCAGCTGGTGGTTGCAATTGCTGGGTTGGTTCTGTTTTCACTCCCAACTTCCACTGGAACCAATAGGTGTTGCAGTCCAGCCTGGTTCTGCCCCGCACATACTTGGCCCTCACATAAACCAGTGGGAGCTGCAGCCTAGTTGGAGCGACCCACAATAACCCCCACCAGGCCCGCCCCCTACCCTGGTTTGCCAGTAAGTGTAGCAGTAATCCAGTCTGTCCCACACCCCATTCCACCCCAGCTGCTGTCTTAGTTTTATGTCCTCCCGTGGAAGTGGTAACCCAAGAGGGATGAGCCCACTATTTCCCTCCCAGGCCTCTCCCACTCCCAGATTCCAGTTGATGCTGCTCAAACAAACCTCACCCACTTTAATTTTGTTTGCACCAGTAGGAATAATCCGCCGAGCCCGGCTTTTCCCTGATCTAGTCCACATGAGGAGCACAGGTGTGGTAGCTCTGCCTAGTCTGGTCTGCCCCCATCCCAGCCCATGCTCTCCTGCGGAAGTAGCTGTCCTGCAAAGGAACCCTCCCTTATTCCCCTGCCGGCTCTGCCCACTTCCTTTCTTGTTCTCAGGCTGGTTGGACGCTGCGGTCCCTTCCGGTACAGGCAACCTCACCTTGGCATTCCTTATTGTGCACTAGTCTTTGTTGCGACCGAACCTGGTTTGACCCACACTGGTGCCTGGATTTGCCAGTGGATGACGTGGACAGATTCAGCCTGGTCTTGCCCCCACGTCTGCCAATTGTATGCCAGTGTGTAGCTTTCCATGGCCTTTTCTGGGCTGTTTCCTATCATGTTTCTTGCGCTTACCTGCCGGGTCTGTGTCCTGCCAGAGGAGTTGCCCAGGCTCCTCCATCAGAACCTCTCCCAATGCCAGGTTTCACGCTTACCAGTGGGTCCATGAGCCAACCCTACTCAGTCCACCTCCTGTCATAGCAGGAACTGTGGCTTTTCCTGACTGGCCTTCAACCCAATCTGGTTCTTGCTGTTGGATGTTCCAGCCCAGCCATGGTTTGTCCATACCCATGTATGGCTCACACATGGCTCAGTAGGGGTTTGAGACCTTGCCTAGTCCATCCCACATCTGCCCTGGTCCTCCAGAACACCAGGGGGAGTCGGGGTCTGGCCCGGTTCGGTGCATCCAATCCCAGTCCACACTTGTGCCAAGGGAGACTACAACTGTTTCCAGATCAGAACGCAGCCCCCCTTCCAGGCCACGTGCCTCTTGGTGGGAACCTCAGCCCAGCTAGGGATGTCCCCTTTGCTCCCCAACCAAGTCTGTTCCCAGCCATAGATCACTCGCATGCCAGTGGTTGCTCTCAGCTTGGCACAGCTCCTCACCTGTCCCGAACTCTGCCTTAGACACTGTGGCTTAGCGTCCCTGGCTTCCACAGACCAGTAGGTACAAGAGCCTAGCTCGGCATGACCTCTGCTCCCTCCTGGTTTCTAGTTTTACTTGTGGGCTAAGGTTTGCTCAGTCGTACCAGATCTACTCTGTTCCCTACCAGTTGACACATTAGCCAGCCGTTGGAGCTACTTTTGCAGGACAAGCCCCAAGCCCAGGCTTCTGCATGGACTGGTATTTGGTGCTCAGCATTATTAGTGATTACAAGTTTTACAAAGGAGGAGTTACTGCCTGTTTCAGGTCCAAGAATCACAATGGGTTCAACCTGAAGCTAATTAAGCAGTGATTCAAAGAACCAAATCCCCAGAGCTCCCCAGCCGGGCGGCCAGCAGGTGGAGCCTGGCACCAATGGTGCACTGGCCGCACGGGAACGGCTCACCATGTGCCCATGGCGGCCGTCCGGGATCCAGGCATGAGACGCCCCGTCCTGAGACCCACCAGCTGCCGGGAGGCTGCTGGAGGTTTAAATTCCCAGGCCCAAGGTGGCGCCCCTCCCAAATCCCATTCACCGCCCAATGAGGGCGGCAGGTGGGTCCCGGACCTGCCCAGTCCTAGAGGCCTCCCCCCTCGGTCTACTCACCCCGAAGGAAGCAGCCCCCGGAACCCAGCAGGCCCGGGAACAGCTCACCATGTGCCCATGGCAGCCGTCCGGGATCCAGGCATGAGACGCCCCGTCCTGATACCCACCCGGCAGCAATTCATAACTGGTGAAATATCAAATCCACTTGAGCAAGAACCTCAGAGCATACCCTACATGCGGGACCTGGGTGGGAAATTGGGTGGGCCTTCTCCCTTAATACCCTCCTTTAAACATGAAGGAAACAATATGGAAAAAAATAATAGTCTTACGCACTTTCCTGTAGCCCTTGAGCCTTTTTACCCTAATTAACCATGTAAAGATTGTCAAAATATTACAAAAAAATAAAAAAAAAATAAGAGTTGGTGGTGATGGGCTAAGCTATGTGTGACCATGGAACCTGTCATCACTCACCGTTTAAGGAACAGACAACAATCTGGGGAGGTCAAGACAGCAGCACCCGGATGTGCATGAGCAGACTGTAGATGAGCCAGACTGCAATGCTCACCAGCTCATACAAGGCCAACATGGAAGGGCAGACTATGCCAGGCACTGGCCTAACACCCACTGGCATGTATGAGATCTGAGTCTAGAAGTGAGTCAACTGAGGAAACTTTGGAAGCTCCCCTAGTGGGTCAAAACTCTGATGATCACATGGTCCAGGCCTGGGGGTCAGAAAAACTGGGTAGAGTACCTTCAATGGCTGGCTAATATGTGGGTTGGTTATGGAAGGGGGCGGACCAGGCAGGGTTGAGCAAACCTTAGCTCACAAGCAAGAACAGAAATCAGGCTGGTGTGGAGAGCGGAGCCGCGCCTCAAAGATGGCGCTTGTTGACCATTGCTTTGTGGCACAAAGGTGGTAAACAGGTTTTGGGAAGTTACTGAGGATTGGGCCAAGCACGCAGGGAAGCTACGTGACCTAAGTCATGATTGGTGTGCTTATCACATGATGTGAGGAACTGTGTATGGATTGGTTTGTGTAATGTAAAAAGGTCTGGGTGAAAAATAGTTAATGAAGAGATTCTCCCAGGCGCACTTCAAGGCTAGAGCTAGAGCTAGAGCTATCGCTATCACTTCAAGGCTATTGCTAGTTAGCACTAGGCTGCTTTTGCTTTACTGTAATAAATCTTAAACAAGTGCTGTAACTGCTTTCACTTTGCCACAACGCTTGAAGTCTTATCCAATAAACTTTTTTAAGAATCTTTACTGTATCGGGGTCTTGCTCGCGGGATGAGGGACCCCGATAGGCTGGAGCACAGGTCATGCTGAGCTAGGCTCTTACACTGACTGGTTTGCATAAACCAAGGATGTCAGGCCACAGCATCGAAGGCAAAGGCCAAGACAGGTGAGGATCTATGCCAAGCTGGATCAGAGCAACCACTGACATGTGCACAATCTACGTCTGTGATCAGGTCTGGTTGGGGAGCTAAGAGGACACCCTTGCTAGGTTGGGGTTCCCACTGAGGAGTTTGGGGGCCAGAGTGAGGGCTGTGTTCAGGTCTGGATATGGCTGCAGTATCCCTTGGCACAAGTGTGAACTGGGGCTGGGTGCACTGAGCCATGCTAGACCTCAGCACCATCTGGTGCTCGTGAGAACTAGGGTAGATGTAGGATGGACTAGGCTAGGTCTCTGCCCCTACTGAGCCATGTGTGAGCTGTGTCTGGGTATAGACGAGCCTTGGTTGGGCTGAAATATCCAACAATAAGAGCTGGAATGGGTTGAAGGCCAGTCAGGAAAGGCCACTGTTACTGCCAGGACAGGAGGTGGACTGAGTAGGGTTGGCTCATGGACCCCCTGGTCTGCACAAGATCTTGCATAGGGAGAGGTTCTGATGGAGGAGCTTAGGAAACTCCTCTGTCAGGATGCAGTCCCTGCAGGTGAGCACAAGAATCATGATAGGGAGTAGCCCAGACCAGGCCATGGAAAGGTACCCACCAGCATACTTTTGGCACAGGTCGGGGGTAGACCAGGCTGAACCAGTTCACTTCACCTGCTGGCGAATCCGAACACCAGAACAGAGTGCAGGTTGGCCAGGTTTAGTCACAACACATACCAGTACACATTATAGCTGGAATTAGATGTCTGCTGGCTGGGCTAGTCTGTAACCCCCACTAGCTGGAGCTAGAATTGGGGGTGGGCCGGGCCAAGCTACAGCACCCACTGGCAAATGTCAAGGTAAGGTGGGCCGTACCAGACTGGGCCACAGCACCCAACCAGCACAAGTGAGAACCAGCAGGGGAGGGGGCAGTGCTATTAGGGGGAATGTGGAGGGCTCTGCTGCCTGACCACCACTCCCACTGGGGAGTATGAGTTGGGATGGGAGCAGATCGGACTAGGCAGGGCTACAACACCTGTGGGTCTCATGTGAGCTAGATCAGGGGAAAGCCAGGCTGGGCTGACTGTTCATAAATCAGAGTGTTCAAGCATAAATCAGAGTGGGTGAGGGTTGGTTGGGCTTTGCTGCAGCATCAGCTGGTAGAGGCTGGCACTGGGGGCTGATTCTGTCAAGTTAAACTGCAGAACCACCTGGAGAGTGCATGATCCAGGAGTGGGAGTGGGCCCAGGAGGGAAATAGTGGGCACCTCTCTCTTGGGTTACCATTCCCACTGGAGAGCATGAAAACCAGAAATGGGGCATGGGTAGCTAGACAGAATGGCTTCTGTCAGCACGAATGTGGGTTTTTGGAAAGTTTGGGTTGAACTAGGCTTCAATGCCCATTGACATGTCTAAGAGCTGAATGGGATGTGGGACAGACTGAACAAGTCTGCTTTACATATTGGCAAGCATGGGAACCAGGATAGGGAACAGGCTGGTGGGGGTTATTGGAAGCCACCCAGAGTAGGCTGCAACTCCCACTGATTTGCGTGAGGGCCGAGTGTGAGGTGGGCAGAATCAGGCTCGATTGCAACACCCATTGGTTCATATGGAAGACAGGGCTAGAGACAGGATTGACCTAGCAATTGCAACCACCAGCATAGGCATAAGCTGAATGGGGCGATGGACTGTGCCAGACCCTATAGTGAAAAGCACATACAAGAATCAGATCTGGGATCACCTCAGATGAAGTTTCTTTGGGGACCCCCTCCAACTGAACTGTTGATCTCAGAACCCCAGTTATGAAGAGAATCGCAGGTTCCATGGTCTCACCATGGAGTGCATGTGTCAAAGCTGAGCCTCCTCAGAGACTCAGATGGAACAGTAGACAGTATATCCAAGTACACATGAGGAAGTGGCAGTCCACTGGAGCCTGCAGAGGACACCTGGTACCACAATAGAGGATGGAGGACAGAATAAACGGATCATCTGCCCCAGCCATGTGTTGGCAATGAAGATCTGGGCAAACGGAGACCCTAAGGTGGAGTATGTCAGTCAGTGGATTCTGAAGAGATTTCATTGTGCTTGGACTGGCAATATTGACATAAATTCAGAATGTTGAACTATCAAAACCACTTGAGCTGTGCCCTTAAAGCATGCCCCACATCGGAGACCCTAGGATAGGGTGGGAGGTTGAGTCAGGCTTCTCCCTTTGTCTCCCTGCTTACCCCAGATATATACACACACACAAAAAATATGGAAACAATGGTCTTACCCACTTTCCTGTAACCCTTGACGCTTTGTGCCCTAATCAACTATGTAAAAGATTATTAAAAAAAAAAAAGAAAAAGGAATCTTTGTTGGGGTTCAATGAACCCGAGAGAAACTTCAAGGTGAGTGAAATGATTTTAATGTCTAATTCAAGGGCAACCTCTTGCCATAAGCAAAAGCGCCCTGAATGAAACAATTGTGGGATTTTTGTAGCAAGAGAATCAAAAGCTACGTGACAGTGAGCAAGTACATGATTAGGAGCCAACAGTGACACAAAACAGAAAGCATGCAATAAGAAGTTACAACGTATAGGCTTTGGGGTCCTGATCATATCACTTCAATGCAGACAGTAATAAAAAAATATGCCCCGAAGGTGCTGTCTTTCCCGTAAACCTAAAAACTCCAAGATTATCCCTATCTCCTGCCTGCCTCCCGGTCTTTCAGGAAACAAGAGTTTTGCTCATAACAGGATGTAGGTGTCTCTTTGGAGATTCCAGACTTCCAGGAGTACAGTCACCTGTACAATTAGCCCTTTCAAACCTTCCCATGCCTCATCTGTTTCACTATGCATATACAGACTTGACCCTGAATAAACATGGCAGAAACATGGAATTATGTAAATGAAAAATTACAAATGCTCCTCAAGTAAGAATGCAACAACATTCTCAATCCGTCATGAAGCAGAAAAAAGATTGTAATACAAAAATGCAACCAGCACCTGTAGCTTACCAAAGCAGTACTCTGAAGAATGGATTGCTTTCCCTCCTGGTGGCTTAGTGGAAGCTAAGGGTTACTAGCGCTGCTCAGCAGCACGAGCATGTGGCCCTGCAGCTGTGTGGCCTAGAAGATTGTCAATACTGAAAAGTGGAAACCGTTTCTTCTGAATGCCTATCACTTTAATATTATCATAAATTTGAAAAACAAAATCAAAGTTGGGCCGCTGTACTTTGGGAACTCTAATATATGAACATCTGGTGTTTCCAATTTTTAAAAAAGATATATTAATTTATTTATTTAAATTGGAAAGGCAGTTTTACAGAGAGGAGGAGAGACAGAGAGGAAGATCTTTTGTCTGATGATTTACTCCCCAAGCGGCCGCAACACCCGGGCTGAGCCAATCAGGAGCCAGGAGCTGCTTCTGGTTTTTCCACGTGGGTGCAGGGTCCCAAGACTCCAGGGCGTCCTCGATGCCTTCCCAGGCCACAAGCAGGGAGCCGGATGGGAAATAAGGTTGCCAGGATTAGAACCGGTGCCCACATGGGATCCTGGAGCTTACAAGGCGCGGACTTTAACTGCTACGCCATCGCGCTGGGCCCTGGTGTTTCCAATTTTAATGATTTCCTCAGTGAGTAGGGTTTATTCACTTTCCTTGTTGACAAGAAAAATAAGTGAAAGATTAATAACTTTAAAATCACATATGATAGATTAATTTTTTTAAAGATTTATTTTATTTTTATTGGAAAGGCAGATATACAGAGAGGAGAGACAGAGAGGAAGATCTTCCATCCGATGAGTCACTCCCCAAGTGAGCGCAACGGTCGATGCTATGCCGATCCGAAGCCAGGAACCTCTTCCAGGTCTCCCACGCGGGCGCAGGGTCCCAAGGCTTTGGGCCATCCTTGACTGCTTTCCCAGGCCACAGGCAGGGAGCTGGACAGGAAGCGGGGCTCCCATATGGGATCCCGGGCATACAAGGCTAGGACTTTAACCACCGTGCCATCGCGCCGGGCCCACTTTTGGATTTTTTTTTTTTAATTCCTGTCAAGGGTGTAAAGTAGGCTTAAAATATCAAGTTGAAATAGAATCTTTTTACATGACATGATGTAAATCAGATTAATTATTGACATAAAATGATCACTCAAATACCTTTAAAATAAACATAACTGTTGATCTTAAGTAATGAGAATCTAATGAAAGGCAGAGAACACAAGGAATATCTTAATATGAAAATCGTTGCAGATAAGAGTTAGTACATTTAACACAATCCGATCTAGATTTTGCTGGAGGTAGCTAGAAAACTTAGCCATTGACTAGTTAAAATCCATTTAAAAGGATTTTAAAATACCGTTGTTCTGTTTAGTTATATTTGCTAAAGAGAGAAGGGACGAAAAGTTATAATGTCTTTGGGGGAAAAAAACTCAGCTGTGGGCAGAGTGGCTTATCAGAGAAAGAAGGAGGACAGGAGAAGCCATAGTGACTGTTGCTGCAGAAGGGGGAAGAGTCAGAAAGAGAGTTTAACCCTGTGTTGCTGGGTGGGAGGAGGAGATGTGCATGAAGTCATGGGATACACGTCTGGCCACAGCTGGCAAGTCGGATATAGTTCCTGAGTCAAGGGTGGTGCTGTAGGGACGGGGAGAGGGAGAAATGAAGAAAGTATGATCAGGCTTTGGGTCCGAGAAGCCCAAGAAGGGGGAAGGCTTGGCCTGAACCAGGAGAACTTGGGACACAGAACAGAAAGAGCAAAGCTTAGGGCAGGAACGGACGTCCCAAAAGGTCTACAGTAAGATAGCTTGGACCACTTGCTGTTGCAGTGACAGAAATTGTCCAATTTCGTGAGGATATTACAGTTAAACATGCCCTCGGCTAGTCATTTTGAATCATTGAGGGGGTAAGACGTTGGCGGCATAAGTCTTAGCCTAGTTCCATGTCTTTGAAATTAGCCAACAGACATCCCCGTGGAGTCTGGGGATCATAGGTCCAAGACTGTAGTTGCTCATTCTGTCCCGATTGACCTGCGGCCAGTTGGGGCTTGAGGAAAGCGTCCTTACCTCGAGAGGCGAACTAAAAAGGGAACCCGGTTCCTCACGTAGGGCAGACCAGTGGATGGAACATTTGCCTAAATACTGGGGGCCCTGTCAGCATCCTAGGTCCCCAAACAAGCAAGTTGTCAGTGAATGGATTACAAGTAAGAAATCAAAGTATACCAGGATTCTGTGTTAATGTCTTCTCCCTATTCTAAGAATTTCTAGCTTCACATAAGATGAGGATTAATGGAAGCTTTGTATGACACCCGGGTTCTTTCTGGGTTTTATAAAAGGCTTATGTTTTCTTAGACAAAGTCATCCTCAAAGTGTGGATGATGGCCGCAGTGTAGAGTGATAAAATCATCTTCTTCCTCTGGTCTGTTCCATTAATCCTGACGCTAACCAGAACCCGAACCGGAACCCAGCCCTGAACCCGAACCCTGTCCTGTCTCGCAGAAGGCAACTGCGCAGGCGCAAGAGGAGACCCAGCCCCGCCCAGGCCTTGGATCCGGGGTGGAGGCATCCGTGACTGACAGGCATGCTCCGCCCTCGTCCCGCCCCCTGAGCTCCCGGCCGGCCAATCGGCGTTCCCGCCTTGGTCGTGTCTCCGGGGCGGTCTCAGCTCCCCTGGGTCGCCTTCCCTGCTGAGGCGGCGGCGTGTGAGCAGAGCGGGAGGCGGGGCCGCGCCCTGCAGTGACAGGGGACCCTAAACTCCAGCCCTGCGCCCCACATCCCCTCACCTGGAGCCGCTCCAAATCTCCTCAGCCGAGGTACCCCAAACCCCGCCACCGTGAGGGACCCCAAACCCCTCCACAGTGAAGGACCCTAACCCGGCCGCCCTGAGAGACCCCAAACTCCGCCGCCCTGAGGGACCCCAAACCCAGCCACAGTGAGGTACCCCAAACCCCTCCGGCCTGAGGGACCCCAAACTCCGCCGCCCTGAGGGACCCCAAACCCCGCCACCGTGAGGGACCCCAAATCCCGCCGCCCTGAGGGACCCCAAACCCCTCCGGCCTGAGGGACCCCAAACCCCGCCGTCCTGAGGGACCCCAAAACCCTCTGCCCTGAGGGACCCCATACCCCGCAAGGGTGATGTTCCCCAAACCCCGCCGCCCTGAGAGACCCCAAACTCCGCCGCCCTGAGGGACCCCAAACCCCGCCGTCCTGAGGGACCCCAAGCCCGCCGCCCTGAGGGACCCAAACCCCGCCACCGTGAGGGACCCCAAAACCCTCTGCCCTGAGGGACCCCAAACCCCGCCGCCCTGAGGGACCCCAAACCCCGGGCCCTGAGGGACCCCAAACCCCGCCACCGTGAGGGACCCCATACCCCGCAAGGGTGAGGTTCCCCAAACCCCGCCGACCTGAGGTACCCCAAACGCCGTCGCCCTGAGGGACCCCAAACCCCTCCGCCCTGAGGAACCCCAAACCCCGCCGCCCTGAGGGACCCCAAACCCCGCCGTCCTGAGGGACCCCAAGCCCGCCGCCCTGAGGGACCCAAACCCCGCCACCGTGAGGGACCCCAAAACCCTCTGCCCTGAGGGACCCCAAACCCCGCCGCCCTGAGGGACCCCAAACCCCGGGCCCTGAGGGACCCCAAACCCCGCCACCGTGAGGGACCCCATACCCCGCAAGGGTGAGGTTCCCCAAACCCCGCCGACCTGAGGTACCCCAAACGCCGTCGCCCTGAGGGACCCCAAACCCCGCCGCCCTGAGGGACCCCAAACCCCGGGCCCTGAGGGACCCCAAACCCCGCCACCGTGAGGGACCCCATACCCCGCAAGGGTGAGGTTCCCCAAACCCCGCCGACCTGAGGTACCCCAAACGCCGTCGCCCTGAGGGACCCCAAACCCCTCCGCCCTGAGGGACCCAAACCCCGCCGCCCTGAGGGACCCCAAGCTTCTGCCCCTTCGGGGGGCCCCACCGACCCGTGCTTTCTTTCTCCGTCAGGAGCCCGGCCTGCGGCGGGACGCACCCCGAGTACGAGCGGAGTCCCAGGGCCATGAGCGCCGCCGCACCCGTGGAGCCGAGCCTCGGGGCCCACGCGGGCCGGGCGCAGGGGGAGCAGGAGGTGAGAGGCTGGGGTGCAGGGCGCGGGGTGCGAGGTCATGGGGAGGCGGGATCGGTGGTGTCCGGGATGCAGGGGGCGAGGTCAACAGTGCCTGGTGTGCGAGGCGCGGGGTCGGCAGGGCGCGGGGCTGGCCGGGGACAGAGCCGGCTGTGCTGCGCCGTGACCAGAACCCGCGTCTTTCAGGTCCCCGACGCCTTCCGCGACATTTGCATGTACTTCTCCAGGGCGGAGTGGGCGGAGATGAGCGAGTCGGAGAAGATCCGCTACCGCAACGTGAAGAGGAACTACAGCGCGCTGCTGGCCATAGGTACCCCGTCCCGGTCGCGCGGGCGAGTCAGGACGGCAGTGTTGCGGTGTGGCCATGCAAGGCTGGCGAGTGGCCTCGGCCCTCCTGGCCCATTCGGCTTTGGGGCGCTTTCCAGGGCCATCCTCGTTCATTGGTCCTCCTGGCTCTGCCCTCGGAGGATGAAGATGTTGCTTCTGTACAGGTTTCAGAGCCCCCAGGCCGGCTTTCATGTGCCGCCGGAGGCTGGCAGGCCGAGCCCGAGAGGATGACACCGACGACTCCGACGAGGAATGGACGCCTAGACCGCAAGGTGAGGGCCAGGAGGGTCCCAGGTGACCCGGGCCAGGCCAGGGGTCAGGCTTAGCTGTGTCTCGGAGCTACCACAGGGCACTGAAGACTCAGCTGTAGTTTATGCTCCTGTTAGGCCACAGCAACTGCGTTAGTTATAGACTCAAGTGGCCCAGTGTCTGAACACATTCCCAGCAGTGTCACTGCAGGAGTGACCGCAGGGCCAGCAGGTGCCCCGCTGCAGCTTGTTTCATTGCTTTGCTTTGAATTTTGTCTTTGGATTGAGAAATGGAGATAAAGGGTGTAAAACAGCAGAGACTGGCTGAACTGTGAGGTATATAGGGTTTTCACTCTCCGTTTTTGTATGTTTACAATTTAAAACTGCTTTTATAACTTGTTTTTATTAAACATTGTTGATCAAAAAGCAGCTCTGAAAAGCTTAACTAAACTTAAAATGCTCCCAAAGGCTTCCTAACACTGATCTCATTATAGTGTGATGATTGAGTCAGATGTTTTAGAAGAAGCAGTGACGTGAAAGGTAATCTATTAATGTATATTTACATTGTGTGAACTCAGAATGAGCCTGTTTTGATTCTCAGAGAGGGCATGACACAATATTTAGTTTCTCTGTTGTTTCCCACATGTTTCACAGACCAGCATCAGCATCAAGGAAATAGTAAGATGTGTAATTGATGGGAAAGTGAATGGCTCATTTCTGGTCTACTGCTTGAACAGGGCAGTTTAGGATAGAATCAACTGACCTGAACTGGAGAGAAGCACTGCGGTCTCCCAGGAACGGGGCTTGGGTCCCCGGGCTGTTCGAGTGACAGCCACTGCTGGTCACACTGAAAGGCTTCGTCAGGGAGAATTCCAGTGGAGAATGAAGCGCCATAGTTTACCACACATCTGTGCATCTATCTGAATCGCTTTACTCCTTTCTTCTGAGAAATCACCTGACACAGATTTGTCCCTTTAAGTTGGCTATGTGCGTGTCACATGCAACACATCTTTCAAACTATTTCATCTGATGTGATTGAAAGGCAGCATTGAGTGATGGCCCATCTGCCCCTCTCATTGTTGACTGCAACCTACCGTGGAGACTCAGAGGTTAAAGTGACAAGCACACACACACACACACACACACACACACACACACGTCTGTTTGGTGACAAATTCACATATTTCTTTTTGATATTTTTAAAAACTTGTATTTATTTATTTTTAAATGCTTGTTACATGGGTGAGGGGTCTCTGCAGGTCTCTGAGTAGATGGGAAGAAAGTGGGGAGGAGAAGAGGGGAGGACCCCTCCCTCCTGTGACTGCGATGAGGGGAGGGAGATGTGGCCCCTCTCCTTGCTGCCAGATCACATCAGCACCCCGAGGCAGAGATGGCCCCTGCTCTCGTCCTGAGGGTGTTGCTTGAGCAGGCTGTCAGTGCCTGTTGGCTTCCTTGCACCAGGAGTGATATCACTTCCCTTACTTGCTATCTGTGTTTAGGTACGCCCATAGCCTCGGATGCATGGTAGAGACTTTGGCCTGTAGAATTTATTGTACAACCTGCTTTTTTCCATCTTTTTGTGAAGCACTCAAGGTCCTCTGTTGAATCAGAGAGGCAGCTGTCCTTTCTTTCATGTGCATTCCAGTCTTCTCAAGACACCAAAAGTACCAGGCATAAGGTTAGAATTAAGACAATCAGTGACAACACACTTTGTACAAGTTACAGTGTATACAGAGCCATCTCAGGAAAAGCTAGAGGAAGCTTAAGGCTCCATCTTGTAAGGGAGGAATGTTACTTATCAGCAGTCCTTTTGGAAGTAGCTTGAGTCCTGCGTGGGGATGTCTTTGGTGGTAGATGGTAGTCAGCAGATGTACACGTGACGTGTCCTCATGGCAGGTGTTGATCTTCTGCGCACATTTGGCCTTTAAAACATTTCTGGGTGGAAGTGTCCGTTGACCTCAGCAAGGGTAGCACTGAGGCTAGTGAAACTCTGTTGTTTTGGCCAGAGGGAAGCAGGAAGGAGAGATAGCACCAAGGTACCTCCCAGGACCTAGGTCACTACTCTTCCTCTGGGCCTCTAGGAAATTGGGCTGTAAAGGCAGTCTTTGGGAAGTCAGGTTTATAAGTTATCCATACCTATATAAATTCTGGAGATCTACCTGTATATTCAGAGAGGCCTTTTGGAGTTTTTAGAAAGGAAGTAGAAGTGAAGAGAAAGCTAATCACGCTTAGTAACAAAATCAGGTGAAAACTATTAAATAATAAATTTAAAATAAAGATACAGGCTTAAATAGTACATTAAAAAGGCAGTGAAAATATACCATGAGTAACCTGGTTATTAAGTGAACTTCAGTACAAGCATATGGATGACTTAAAACATTTTCAATGATAGTCTGAGGCTTAAATTATGTGAGCCAAAAGCAACCTTAATTTAGGAAAAAGCAATAAAGTAGTTTCAGTAATGATCTAAGATCTTAGACATTTTGAAATTATAAATTGGTTAGAATAACCTGTTGTTTGTAGTAAAATAAGTTTGCATGGTTATTCAGATGGTTTCTCATCTGATCTCATCTTTTATCAATCTGAAGCAATGTGAACATACTGAAAAGCAGAAAACACAAAGATCACTTCAACATATATTCTGATACACTTCAACAAAGTCAGGTCTGGAGTTCGCTGGAGCTAACTAGAAAGATTTAATCATTAATTAGATAAAAAAACAATTAACAGGAGATGTTATAATAATATGTGCTTTCAAAACTTTGCTGTTATAACAGAGGATCAGACTTTAATTCCATGAATCAATGATAAATATTTTAGAAAATGCTGCAAACAGTATTCTTACTAGCAGATAAAAGCACATGGGTGCATCCTATACCTGGAAAAAACTTAGCAGTGAGTTAGATGTTACTTTTATACCAGTTTATATTTGGTGTAAATGTTACCCTTTTAAAGAAAAGCCTTAAACAATACCTTAAGAGTTATATTCATAAAATTCACGAATTCAAAGATAAAAATTTAATAGAGTTAAGAGATGTTAATTTTGTACAAACATTGTTTATAAAGTACAAGATGCTAGATATTTTTCTTTGGGCTCAGGTTAGTTTATCTCCTGCCCTGCCGCTTTTGGCTAAAAAAGGTTGGAGGTGGGAGACTTGACAAAGGAAAAAAGTAGAGAAACTGCACCTGTGAGATGAGTAGCCTAACAGGAGCTAGTGGAGGTCAGGGAATGACTGTACCTGCTGGAGAGAAAGGAGTTTAACCCTGAAATTGCTGGGCAGGAGGAGGAACTTCTGTAGAGGCTGCTTGCCGTTGCGAAATGGCAAGTGGGTGGAAATGTAAACTGGACAAGGATGCCTAATTAGTGATCTGGAATCCACGTCAGCAAGTCCATGACCTGTGGAAAAATGAAAGCATTCCCTCCTCCAAATTTTAAGAGGAAATTGGGTCCTTTTCATTGGCCAGTAAGGATATTTTCAAAATCTATGATTAGAGAAACTATTTTGTTAGATGACCCATCTGTAAAGACTAAAGAAGCAGGTTAAGGAAACAGAAAAGGGTTAAAAACAAAGGAGTTAAGGAACAAATCTTTTGAAATATAACCAGATGACTTTTAATAAAATGTAAAAGGGGGTTTTCAGCTAAGTCATGAAATTGTACCCACAAGGGTTAAGAGCGCTATTTGTCATGTCTCATCCTCGGATATTAAATAAGCTGTTAAGAGCTATAAGGAATGATTATTTAATTTATATCTTTGCAAAAAGGCTCCTATTCCTATGATATCTCATTATAATTAAGGTGGAGACCAAAGCACAATAAGGAGTAATAACCTTTTTATACATAGAAAGGAGATGCAGCCACTCTAAAGGCCCTTGTTGCCACAATCATCCAGTTGGAGTGTGAACAGTAGATAGCATAATTAATTGCCAAGGAAGATACCAACTTTTAATTAGCATTTCCATAATCAATATCAGATTTTAAGTCTGTTACTCTTCTATAGTCACAGCTTGGGTAAAATATTGCTGCCTTTTAAACCTCTGATTGTTCAAGGCCTAGGAGTTTCCTGACAACAGGCGCTGGCCATCATGATCAATTTTAGATTTACATTTACATACTTTTGCCCAATGTACAACTCTGTGACATTTAGAACTTATCTTAGGGCATGGATCCTTAGCAGTATTAGTGCCACTTTTTTGAGCTAAAAGAGATGTTGCTCGGCATTGTTTCAGGAGGTGACTGGGTTTCCCACAGTTAGAACACTTAGCATTCATTTGCTTCTGAATAGTAGTGGTTTGAAACCTTGCAAGGTGAGTAGGGTGTTTGAAAGTCCCCCTGTTACCACAGGCCTTTGGATAACCCATAACTTGTTGGCCAGATTTTTGGGTATTTGATTTCCTACAATCTTTCCACGTATGTCCCAATTTGCCACAATTATGACATTTAGGTCTATTTTGCTTTAAACCATTGCTTAATGCAGCACTCATCATTTTAGTTTTGTACCTTTCAGAGACAATATCCATACATGACCCCATTACTTGGGGGGCCCAATCATATGGAGTCATCCACTTAGCTGCTAGTCCCTCCACCATTGTCATAGTGTACGGGGGGTTTGGCCCGTAGTCAGAGACAGCATGCTTTAGTTCTTTAATAGGCTTATGAGGCAACGGTTTCCATTCAGGTTCATCCCATTCATAGGCAACAGGAAAACAGAAAAAATCACCTTCCTTATGTTCCTGCCGCATTGCCCCCCTAAAGCCAATCTTTGCTGGATCTGGTCTTGCTGGAAGGGGCTTACAAGGCAGAATACCTTGAAGGCTTATTATCAACAGCAGGAGACCTATTATCATGTAACTCAGCCATTTGCCCCTTTTCACAATCTCTAACTCCTGATCTAAATATTTCTGGTTTTAAAAAATCTTCTTCCTCATCTGATAAACCTCCCTGATCAGTTTTACAATATTTTACATTATCTTCAGGACAGACACTTTCCATTGAGCTATAACTAAGGCCTAAGCCTCCCTTCTGAGGATCAAGAAGGAGAGTATGTTCTCTCCGCTGAGCTGAAGGTGCGGGATAAGGCTCAGGTCCCACATCTAGTGCCTGCCATAAAACATTCCAAATAGCATATGCAGAGGATGGCATGCCCACTCGTCCATTACTCTGGTACCACCTTTTCATATCATTCCCTACCTGGTCCCATGTGTTTAATTCTAAAGTGCCCTGCTCAATAAACCACGGGCTAACTTTTTGTACAAATTGTAAAAATTCTAATAATTGCTTCTTGCTAGCTTTAATGCCCTTCCTATGTAAGGTATGTTTAATAATATCAGCATATAAACTTCTTTCACTAGAATCGTTCTGGCCCATTTTTACAGCACAGAGGGTACACAACTTCTCAATATAGGTTCTGACTATTCACCCCTCCTAACCTGACCTTCTGTCAGGGGGCCTGCAGCACCCTGGGTGAAGTCCTATCCACGCTGCAAAGAGAAAGAAAAGACTTACCTTCCTCGAGCCCCACATTGGGCACCACTTGCTGGAGTCCAGCTCCAGCTGAGTTCGAAACTCACGAAGGGTGCATGGATGAGGCACAAAGAAAGAAAGAGATGGACCACTAGGAACTGTTGATCATAATGGACAATGCACAAAAGCTGTCCGCTTTATTTATACAAAATCAGTCAAACTCTGGCTCAGACTTTTTACGTCATGGTCAAGTGGGTGTTTCTCATTTTTTTTAAAATTTATTTTTATTATTTTTTATTGGAAAGGCAGATATACAGGGAGGAGAGACAGAGAGGAAGATCTTCCGTCCGATGATTCACTCCCCAAGTGAGCCACAACGGCCGATACTATGCCGATCTGAAGCCAGGAGCCTCTTCTGGGTCTCCCACGCGGGTGCAGGGTCCCAAAGCTTTGGGCCGTCCTCGACTGCTTTCCCAGGCCACAGGCAGGGAGCTGTAAGGGAAGCGGGGCTGCCGGGATTAGAACCAGCGCCCATATGGGATCCCGGGCGTGCAAGGCGAGGACCTTAACCACTTGCGCCACTGCGCTGGGCCCAAGTGGGTGTTTCTAAAGATAACTCTGCCATTTGTTTCACCTAATGCTAGGATGTTAACCACCTGGTGCGTGGCACCTGGCGCCTGGCTAGGAAAAAGTTCAGTAGATGGTGCATATCAATCAGTAACACATTCCTACCATGATTACTCTACAGCTTGGTCTTGAGACAGTCAGGGAAGGAAGAACTTCACAGGAGGGACCTAAAAGATCAAAGAAAGAGGGAAAGAATAGATTCCCACTACACCTGAAGACAGAACACCCTTGATTAGCATAGGATCAAAAGGGGAGTTAGCACCCTTGATTAGCATATTGCCACAGGATGCAGCCATAACAGCAATAACAGCTTTTTGGCTAAAAACGGTAACAGCAACATCAGCTTCTAAGCTCCTACTGATATTTAACAGTAACTCCGCAGAGGCAGACAATGCCTAAATAGATTACAGAAATCTCAATGGGGTTGTTCGGTGTCCATGCAAAGGGAGGCGAAACTGCAAGAAGTTCCTTGCGGCCTTGCCTGCAATAGAACGATACTCTTCACACCTTCCTGTCTTCCACATCCATCACACGGACCCCAGCACAGTATGTTGTCTCTCCTTACACAGAATCAGCAATGAAGGTGGCCCAGTCTCACAACATGTACTCCAAGGCCGACCAGATGTCTCTGTGGTGTTTCTTGGGACTTATTGTGCTGACTCCTAAGAGCTGCTACAGAGTTGATTCTCTAAATCCAGCTCTCAGATGTACCAGTAGGCACTGTGCTCAGCCCAGTCCAGTCCACTCCCAGACCCAACAACACATTCACCAGTAGGGACCTGGTCAGGGTGACCCCAAGAATCTCAACTAAGCCCAGGCTGAGACCTGACCTGTGTGTGCCTGCAGGTACCATGGTGCAGCCCACCCCAGAACCAGCTCTCAAGTACACTGCCGAATGCTCCAACCAGCTGCAAACCTGTTTCCGTGTGAACTGGTGGGTGCTGTGTCCTGGTCTGCCCACAGCTGGCACCTGCTTGTATTGGCAGGTGCTGCAGCTTAATTGTGCAGACCTCTGAGGATCCTTTCCAGATCCAGCTCTCACACACACCAATGGGTGATGTGGCCTAGCCCAGGCTGGCCCACCCACACCACCAGAGGGTGCTGCAGCCTAGCAGATGCATCCCCAAAGATCTACCAGGCCCGTTCCCAGCCCTAGTCCTTGCAAGTGCTGGCAGGTGCTGCAATCCAGCCTGGCATGGTTCATCCCCAGCCCTGAAACTTTTCCATCAGGTGCTGTGGCCTAGTCAGGGTTGCCTCAAAGAACCCCTACCAAACTCTCCCGTAACATAGCTCTTGTAATTACTGGCAGGTGCTATGACCTAGTCTCATCTGGTCTGCCCCAGTGCCTGCTCTTGTGCCTGTGGTCGGGTGCTTTGGCCTGACCCAGGGAGGCCCTGTGGATTCCTCCTTCTGATCTACCCCATCTCAGCTCCCTTGATTACCTTTGGGTACAGTGACCCAGGCCATGGAAACCCCCAGAAATTTTATGTGTCGGAGAAGTGCTCAGTTGCCCCATTCTGACCTGTCCACAATCCTCCCATCCCTAACAATGCACACTCCCACACACATTCATGGGGGCAGCAGTTGGGGTAGCAGCCCCAGGTGGCATGTGCCCATGGTGGAGTGAGGGCACTCCTCTCCCTTCCCCCCAGAGAATAAGCAACTGTGCTGGCACACTGGTACAGTTAACACAAAGATGGCATTAAGCAGGCCCAGAGTGGCTGCCAACTACTGGCCGCTTTTCTCCTAGCAGTGTAACACTTGCCTAAGTACAAGGCAGCCTAGGCAATTACCTACAGCTGGGGAAATTTTACATCTTTCCTGCAGGGTTGGCATGTGCTTGAGTAGTGTTCCATAAAATTGATTTATGTAATGGTTACCAACCATATTAAAAATCAAGCTGGGTTAGGGTTAGGATTATAATTTGGCTTTTTATTAAGGGGGTACATGACATTCTCAGGTTCTGAAGTTGTTTACCCCAGGAAGAGACAAATGATGAAATGGTTAATCTTTTTCTTTTTTTCCTTATAAAGGCTGTAAAGTGTAAGGCTTTAGGTATAACAGTCATTTCCTATGTGATAGAATCAGTTCAAAAGTCATGCCATATCTGAGGACTTGGTGTCTTCACAGTGCCCCGCTGATTTAGGCCTCCTGGGTCACCTTCCAGTCTTTCAGTCTGCTCCCAGACCCTAGAAACGACAATTCTTTTTTTTTTTTTTTAAAGATTTATTTTTATTATTTTTCTATTGGAAAGGCAGATATACAGAGAGGAGAGACAGAGAGGAAGATCTTCCATCCGATGAGTCACTCCCCAAGTGAGTGCAACAGCCAATGCTATGCCGATCCGAAGCCAGGAGCCTCTTCCTGGTCTCCCACGTGGGCGCAGGGTCCCAAAGCTTTGGGCCGTCCTTGACTGCTTTCCCAGGCCACAGGCAGGGAGCTGGAAGGGAAGCGGGGCTGCCGGGATTAGAACCGGCGCCCATATGGGATCCCGGGCGTGCAAGGCGAGGACCTTAACCACTTGCGCCACTGCGCTGGGCCCAGAAACGACAATTCTAATCTGTTCCTATGAAAATGATGACTAGGGCCCAGCACGGTGGTGCTTTCCCAGGCCATAAGCAGGGAGTTGGTGGAAAGTGGAGCAGCCGGGACATGAACTGGGACCCATACGGGATCTCAGTGCTGCAAGGTGGAGGATTAGCCAGTTGAGCCATCACACCAGCCCTGGTTTTATCTATTCTACATAAACAGTTTGGGCCTGGTGCAGTAGCCTAGTGGACAAAGTCCTTACCTTGCATGTTCCGGGATCCCATAAGGGCGCCAGTTCATATCCTGGCAGCCCTGCTTCCCATCCAGCTCCCTGCCTGTGGCCTGGGAAAGCAGTCGAGGATGGCCCAAAGCCTCGGGACCCTGCACCTGTGTGGGAGACCCAGAAAAGGCTCCTGGATCCTGGCTTCAGATTGGCACAGCACCGGCTGTTGCAGCCACTTGGGGAGTGAGCCATCGGATGGAAGATCTCCCTCTCTGTCTTTCCCCCTCTCTGTATATCTGACCTTCCAAAAATAAATAAATCTTTAAAAAAAAATGATAGTTTCAGAAAGCATGTTTAAGTCATTCTGGATCATACTCAATCTGAGCCACCACTCTGGCTCAGAATTCCTTCTCTAATGAGGATTTCCAAAGTTGGGCAGTTCATTCTGGATCATACTCAATCTGAGCCACCACTCTGGCTCAGAATTCCTTCTCTAATGAGGATTTCCAAAGTTGGGCAGTGCTCACTAACCAACACTGATTTGCTGTCACTTCCAGTCAAGCCTCCTAGGATGACCTACAGAATGGAACAGAGCAAACATCAAAAGGTGAGCATCTCCCAAATCCCATTGCTGAGTGAGCACTCCTTCTAGGTCCATCCCAGTGGAGAAGCTGTGTGGTGTGTGTTAGCTGTGTCTTCTGGTAGTGATCTCGCTAGCATGAGGTCTGGCCCATCGTGAAGAGCATTAGTTTTCACAGAATTTCAGACTTTGTTTTTAAGCATTTTCTGTGAATATATCTGTTTGACCCTTCTGACAACGCTAGGAGGTAGCTGCCACGATATAGTCATTTTATAGATGAGGAATCAGTCACAGACTTGAGATCACAGTGAGTGGTGTCACAGTGAAATCCAATATTCATCTAAAGCACGTACAGGTTCATTAAAACGTTCACAAGTTTGGTAAGGCTTGTGCTGTTTTAGTCATCTTCTATTTTGTTTGATTTGTCCCTGCCAAGCCAAGGTGAGAGATGCACTAAGACTGACCACAGGATACTTGCAAAGATACAGGCAGTTTATTGTGAGTGTCTAGACAAGAAGGGAAAGGACCCCACCCTCACAAGGGACTCGTTCTGGTGAGAGGAAGCATCGCTAAGCCCTGAGGAGTTTTGGGCTTCATGGCAAAGACTTACAGCTTCCTACCAGTTCATTATCCATTGGAAACACATCTTCTACAGCTGAATTCACCTGCACCCTGCCTGGAGAAATGGCAGCCCCCTCCTCTGAGGTAGCTCCCTGTGACTTGCAGTCACTTGATTGTTGCCTCTGCATGACGGGCTCTTTGAGAGCCCAACTCGGTCCCAGATCTCAGAAGTCCCGGGCACAGCTCAGGACCATGAGAAAAATTATTAATCTCACATTCAATCCATATTCAAGAGCGCATAATAAACATTTCTGTATAATATGTAAGACCATCTAAAGAATAAGAAAAGAAGCTGAAGCAAAACAGCTGGCGGTATACCTTAATTCGACAGAATTGATCCAGGCACCAATTCATCTAATTGCAGAGTCTAATATTCTTCTGAGGATATTGCAATTTACAACTTTCAGTGCCATTTTACGTGTCACTGCTTCTACCTCTGCCTGAGCTCATTGATGCAGCTCACTCCCTGCTTTCCTACCTTCTCCCATCCATCGAGAGATGACTGGTCAGGGTTAGTTAGTTCCCTTTTCTCTGTAAACCCCCACCCCATCTTCTTTCACAGACGTTGTTCTGCAGTTCATCTTCCAAGTACATTCCCTCCCCCTCTTCTGTCTGCACAGAAGACATTAAAAACCAACTGGAGGGACAGAGCCCTGGGACGTGGATTCTACGTGGACACTGCTTCCCCTGCCCCCGCCCCAGGAGTCAGACACCTCAGACAGCTCCCAGAGTTGTCGAAGCATCAAATATAGTCATGCACACGAAAATGCATTGCAAGCCCTAAAGAGCTAAAGAAGAGAACATTGTCTTCTCAATATGTGACTCTTGTGTTAAAGGGAATGGCCAAGGAGCCTGCACACCATGAGTGTAGTGTGAAGGGATCACCAGGAACAGCATATTTCCTGAGGCCAACCGACTCCAAGCAGGGCCAGAAGCCAGCGTTCCCTCCTGAAGAAGCAAGTGTGTCTAGACAGCACTCCACATGTAGACTGGGTAAGAGAACTTGGGGACTGTAGTCTCTCCAGGCCCTCTAGAAAGGCTGAGGAGAACAGGGTATGTGGGGCGGACTAATGCTAGACTAAACTAGGAGACCACAAACTGCAATGGAGCCTAACCTGTGAATACATTAATTCTGGATTTAAATATTGGGTTATAATCTACAGAAAAGAACTAAAGGCTTTGAGACTCTTATGACTTTTCTGAGGTTCTGGGTGTTGATCTGCAAAATGAGGCTAAGGGAACATAGCCTACGAAGAAAAACATCATCGTGGGAATCAGGTAGCTTTCAAGTAAAGATGTAAGTTCAACCCGGGTCCCACGCCAGAGGACCCGGTTCTAGATGCTGCTGACTCTAGCATCACCCTAACCCTAACTCTGAGATGTGGGCCTGACATGATGGCCTGCTTGGCTAATCCTATACCTCCAAGCACCAGGATCCCACATGTGTGTCAGTTCTTGTCCTGGCTACTCCACTTCGCATCCAGCTCCCTGCTTGTGGCTTGGGAGAGCAGTAGAGGACAGCCTAAGGCCTTGGGACCCTGCACCTGCATGGGAGACCTAGCAGAAGCTCCTGGCTTTAGATTGGCTCAGCTGCAGCTATTGTGGACACTTAGGGAGTGAATCAGTGGACAGAAGATCTTTTCTCTCTATCTGCTTCTCTCTGAAAATCAGTCTTTCCAATAAAATTACATCTTTAAAAATGAAAGAACTCAATCATTTGCATCATCACTGCTGCAAATATTATGTCTCAGGACCTTTTTTGTTAAGGTTTTTTTTTTGTTTGTTTGTTTGTTTTATTGGAAAGACTGGATGGGAAGTGGAACAGCTAGAATACAAAACGGTGCCCATAAGGGATCTCATTGTATGCAAGGTAAGGATTTAGCCACTGAGCCATCACACCAGGACCACCCAGTGGGAAACTTGGATTGAGTTCCTGGCTCCAGGCTGTTAGGAAAGAATAAGTGGATGGCATCTCTCTGTTTCCCTCTTTCTGTTTCTCTTTGCCTCTTAAATAAACAATCTTTAAAGTTACTGAAAAAGAGATGAATTGAAACATAAGTTTGTTGATGGTAAAACATTTTTTAAGATTTTATTTGTATTTTTATTGGAAAGTCAGAATTAGAGAGAAGGATCTTCCATCTACTGGTTCGCTCCCCAAGAGGCCACAGTGGCCAGAGCTGACTGAGCTGGTCTGAAGCCAGGAGCCAGGGGCTTCTTCTGGGTCTCCCCGACAGGTGCAGGGTCCCAAGGCCTTGGGCCATCCTCGACTGCTTTCTGAGACCACAGGCAGGGAGCTGGATGGGACGTGCAGCAATCAGGACATGAACCGGCACCGATATGGGATCCTGGTGCATGCAAAGCGAGGACTTTAGCCACTAGGTTACCTCGCCAGGTCCAGTAAACTTTTTTTTGAAATCCCCATAATTTTTCATGAACTTGTGAAGGCCATCATATTACTTGAAAGCATTAAAAATAGAATAGTTGATACATGCGAGGTGATCTGTGATAATGCAAGCCATGTTTCCTTTTCTTTGTGTGTATGTGTGTGTTTGATGATGTTTGTATAGTTGAGAAGGATGCATTGCCAGGGATTAGGAAAAAATAGAAGTGACCATTTTTTCAAAGTGTCTTTTTTTTCTTCCTATATCGGGAGAAAGGGGGAGAGAAGAGGAGAAACTACCCAGGCCTCCCAACTGCCTCGGTACCCAGGGCAACTACCCAAAGTCATCCCAGGGTCCCCAAATCTTGGTCTCTTTGGGCCAATATTTAATGGCAAGAGGAAGAGAGAAGTTGCATAGAAGCATGGGGAGCAATCTGATGGGAGGAAGCTTCACATTTCTGATGAGGCAGGGACAAGTGCTCAGCCTCCTACCTTTACTCACCCACTCCCTCCGACTCAGAAGGAAGAAGAAAGACTGACATGAAGATATACAGCTTGAGGAAAAGGAAGAGTCGGACGTACAAAGAGTGCAGTGAGCCTCAGGACGACGACTACCTCTGTAAGTGACCCGTAAGCTCACGCAGCATTCATCTCATCATCTGGCCCCACATCGTTCCCCTCCTCTGGTGACTTGGAGGGCAAATTTGGCTAAAGGTTGTGAGGGCTGGGCTGCTTCTGCAGCTCTGTGTCCCAGCAACACGCAGTGCACTTTCTTAAGCCTGCTTCTCTCATCCCTAGATTGTGAGATGTGTCAGAACTTCTTCATTGAAAGCTGTGCTGTTCACGGATCCCCGACGTTTGTAAAGGACAACCCAGTGGGCAAGGGGCACCCTCACCGCTCAGTCCTCAGTCTGCCTTCTGGGCTGAGAATTGGACCATCGGGCATCCCTGAAGCTGGACTTGGAGTGTGGAATGAGACAACTGATCTGCCACTAGGGCTGCATTTTGGTCCCTATGAAGGCCAGGTCACAGAAGAGGAAGAGGCTGCCAATAGTGGCTACTCCTGGCTGGTGAGAAGTGCCGTCCCTTCCTGTCTTCTGGCTCCCTTCCCCTTCTGTGCCTTTGATGGGATGTGAGTGGGGACAACACAATTAGTTCATTTGGTGGTTTTCGCACAGATGTAAAACTCCTGTGTAAAATGGAGAATGTAAGGTGCTGGCACTGTGGCATATTAGGTTAAGCCTCTGCCTGTAGTGCAAATATCTCCTATGGGCCTGATTCAAGTCCTGGCTGCTCACTTACATTCCAGTTCCCTACTAATGGCCTGGGAAATGAGTGGAAGATGTTTCAAGTGCTTGGGCCTCCCGCCCATGTGGAAGACTTGAAAGATTCTCCTGGCTTCAGATCAGGGAAGTGAACCAGCAGGTCTCTCTCTCTCTCTGTCTACTCCCCTGTAAAATAAATCTTTACAAATGAGAGGGTAAGAGAGAGCAGGGCAAGGGCAGTAGAGAAGAAGCAGTGCCTCCTCCCAGGTCCTCTGCCCCGAGGGTGCCAGGAGCGCGCTGTGTGGGGACAACGACTGGCTGAACCCATGAAGGCCCAAGAACACTGACAACAGATGAGCTGAGTGATTCTGCTCAATCTCCCACTTCTGGAAGACTTTAACTTCTGTTTCTGAAACTCAGATCACCAAGGGGAGGAACTGCTATGAGTACGTGGATGGAAAGGATCCGTCTCAGGCCAACTGGATGAGGTGAGGCCCACAGAGGAGCACATTTGTGTCTCATAAGCTGGGATGTCTTTCTGCTTATGCCCCCTCAGGTGTTTTTACATCCACTGCTCCTCTGCCATCTGCAGATAATGCTCTTTACTTTCATGACCATTTTTAAAAGATATAAAATATAAAAACTATAACTTATCTTTTATCAAAACATAATCTATATACTAGATAAAATGGGGGCACAAGGGTAACCTCGAGGAGCCTAGATCCACTGGGGACACTGGATTCACTGTATAACTAACATTTACTAAACATTTCCAGTGTTTTTTTTAAAGATTTATTATTATTATTATTATTATTATTAATATTATTATTTTATTGGAAAGGCGGATATACAGAGAGGAAGATCTTCCGTCCGATGATTCACTCCCCAAGTGAGCGCAACGGCCGATGCCATGCCAATCCGAAGCCAGTGTCCTTAGCCGTAATTTCCGCTTTCTTTAGAGAACTACACAATGTCTCGACAGCTTAAAGCAAAGGACCATGAATTTTGAGGCAGGAAGTTGTCCCAACCTCAGTGAGGTCAAAACTGGGTCCCGGGGGCTGGTGTTGTGTAGCGGGCTACACCATCTCCTGTGACACCAGCATCCCATAAGAGCTCCAGTTCAAATCACAGCTGTTCTACTTCCAGTTTCTTCCCTGCTAATGTGCCTAGGGAAGCCCACGTACTTAGGCCCCTGACCCACGTGGGAGGCCAGAATTAAACTCCTGGCTCCAGCCTGAACCAGTCCTGGCTGTTGTAACCATTTGGGAAGTGAACCAGCAGATGCCCCACCTCTCTGTGTTCTGAGTCCTGAGGAGACATGAGCTGTGGCAAGACCACGGGTCTCTGAGAGGGTCTTCTTCAGCAGATAAGAAATGTGGATGAGGAAAACAACTCTTTTGCTATGGAAACCTGGGAAGGTAAGGAAATAGTTCCTCGGGAGGTTAGAGAAAGGCCTCCCAAAAGAAGGCAGACATCAAAATAGTAAAATGAAGAAACATTTCAAAAGAAGAAGGTAGACTTCAGCTAAGAGTTGAGTGGAGGCAGGAGTAGGCTCCCTCACTAAGCACCAACCGAAGGTTGTTTGACCCTAGAGAAGCTGACATCACTGCTTCCTCCCAGTGAAGTGAGCCTGGGCTTGGGTCTTGGCGGATTAGGGAAGAGAGAAAAGCTGGTAGGATGAACGCTATGTAAATAGACCTGCGAATTCACTGAGCTTGTGAGAGAGACCAAGAGAGAAAGCTCTTCCAGAGTTGGGGGTGGGGAGGAGGCAAGGAGAAGGGTGATGGTTACTATGGTTACAGGAAGTGAGTGGACAGCACAGTAACCTCAGGCAGAGATCTGGCCTACACCGAAGGCCGTCAAAGCCACATACAGGCCAAGTATGGACGAAGGCCAATATTTCTTGTCTTATCAGGCCCATACAGGGCTGGTGCCAGCACCCATGTCAGAGGGGGTATAAAAGCTTTGTCTCTGCTACCCAGCTTGTCCCTCCCACCTGTGGTCCTTCTCCGTCCGCTGCATGGAAAAGGCCCAGGAATGGACTTCTCTTTGCATAATAAAAGCCTGTTTATACTTGGCTGGTATTTTCTTTCTTGGGTGGCTGATAAATCTAACAGAGGCTGGAGACCATCATGTGACAGACAGGGATCAAATCTGACTGAGTGGGAACTCAGCATCTGTTTCCACTCAGGTATGTGAACTGTGCTCGGAACGACGAGGAGCAGAATCTGGTGGCCTTCCAATACCACAGGCAGATATTCTACCGCACCTGCCAGGCTATCAGGCAGGGCTGTGAGCTGCTGGTCTGGTACGGGGACGAGTACGGCCGGGAGCTGGGTATCAAATGGGGCAGCAAGTGGAAGGAAGAGCTCACGGCAGGCAAAGGTTAGTAACACTTCTACTCTTTAAAGAAAGAATTCTGCTTGTGAACGTTTGTGGTTCATCTCTAACTAGAACCCAATGCACTGTAAAGTCAGTCAAATTTTAAACCAGGTGGATTTTAGATTAAAGATTCATTCTTTAAAAATATTTTTTATTGAAAAGGCAGATGTATCGAGAGAAGGAGAGACAGAGAAAAAGATCTTCCATCTGTTGGTTCACTTCTCAAATGACTGTAACAGCTGGAGCTGAGCTGATCTGAAGCCAGGAGCCAGGAACCAGGAGCTTCAGGTCTCCCATGTAAAAGTGCAGGGTCCCAAGGCTTTGGGTCGTCCTCTGCTGCTTCCTCAGGCCACAAGCAGGGACCTGGAAGGGAAGTGGAGTAGCCAGGACATGAACTGGCACCCATATAGGATCCCAGTGCTTGATGCACAGTCCTAAGACTAATTTTTTTTTTTTAAGATTTGTTTTTATTGGAAAGGTAGATATACAGAGAGGAGAGAAAGGAAAATTTTCCGTCCGATGGTTCACTCCTCAAATGACTGCAACAGCCGGAGCTGAGCCAATTCGAAGCCAGGAGGCAGGAGCTCCTCTGGGTCTCCCACAGGGGTGCAGGGTTCCAAGGTCCTGGGCCGTCCTCAACTGCATTCCCGAGCCACAAGCAGGGAGCTGGATGGTAAGCGGGGCCACTGGGATTAGAACCGGTGCCCATATGTGATCCAGGCGCGTTTAAGGCGAGGACCTTAACTGCTATGCTATCGCACCGGGCCCAACTTTTTTTTAAGATTTGTTTTTATTGGAAAGGTAGATTTACAGAGAGAGACAGAGAGAAAGATATTCCATCCATTGAGTCACTTCTCAAGTGGCTGTAATAGCTAGGGCTGATCTAATTCAAAGCCAGGAGTCCCTTCCAGGTCTCCCATGTGGGTGCAGGGTCCCAAGGACCTGAGTCCCAGGCCACAAGTAGGAGCTGGCTGGAAAGTGGAGCACTGGGGATATAAACTGGTATTCATATGGGATTTCGGTGTGGCAAGGCAAGAATTTAGCCACTGAGCCATGGCACTGGGCCTTATCTTTTTGTTTTGTGTTGTTTTGAAGATTTATTTACTTATTTGAAAGCAGAGTTGAGACAGAGGGAGATCTTTCATCTACTGGTTCACTCCCCAAAGTGCCATAGAGGGCAGGGCTAGAATCATATCAGTGCCAGTTCGTATCCCGACTGCTCCACTTCCCATCCAGCTCCCTGCTTGTGGCCCGGGAAAGCAGTGAAGGACGGCTTAAAGCCTTGGGACCCTGCACCTGTGTGGGAGACACAAAAGAAGCTTCTGGCTCCTGGCTTCAGATTGGCTCAGCTTCAGCCATTGCAACCATTTAGGGAGTGAACCAATGGATGAAAGATTTTTCTGTGTGTGCTTCTCTGTAAATCTGCCATTCCGTTAAAAGAAATGGATGTTTCTTAAAAAATAAAAAAAGAAAATAAAAGAAAAAGGGAGAGAAAGAAAGAAAGAAAAATAAATAAAGAAAAATAAAAAATCAGTGAGGCAGGCCTCACCCCCAGCAAAGCAGGTGGCCTGCCTGTCTGTCTGCTCTAACCAAGAACCCTCCTCTTCTCAGCCGAGTCAAAGCCAGAAATCCATCCCTGCCCCTCATGCTCACTGGCCTTCTCCAGTCACAAGTTCCTCAGTCGACATACGGAGCGCAGTCACTCTCAGGTCTTCCCAAAAGCATCACCAAGACACCTGCAACCAGTGAACCCCTGTCGAGCGACTGAGCACCAGGAACCGCCTGATGCACACAGCTGGAATGACACGGTTGAAGGTCAAGAGGTGATTGAAAATTCCAGACCCGTGTCCACCAGGACAAGGCAGAGGCAGATCTCAGCGGCCTTTTGCAGCCTCCGCAAAGGACAGGTGGAGGCCTCGAGGGTGGGTGAGAGAAAGGCAGAGGAAGGTCCCAGAATTGACCAGGAAATGAATGCACAGGACACAGGAAAATCATCTGTGAGGGCAGGGCTGCCAAGCAGAGTAACAGTCAAGTGTGGAGATGGTAGGCAAGACCTCAGAGATATGTCACACCTCATCAGACATGAGAGGACACACACAAGGGAGAAGCCCTACATGTGCAGGGAGTGTGGGCGAGGCTTCACAGACAAGTCAAGCCTCATCAGACACGAGAGGACACACACAGGGGAGAAGCCCTACGTGTGCAGGGAGTGTGGGCGAGGCTTCACAGTGAAGTCAAACCTCATCAGACATGAGAGGACACACACAAGGGAGAAGCCCTACGTGTGCAGGGAGTGTGGGCGAGGCTTCACAGTGAAGTCAAACCTCATCACGCACGAGAGGACACACACAGGGGAGAAGCCCTACATGTGCAGGGAGTGTGGGCGAGGCTTCACACAGAAGTCAAACCTCATCACACATGAGAGGACACACACAGGGGAGAAGCCCTACGTGTGCAGGGAGTGTGGGCGAGGCTTCACAGACAAGTCACACCTCATCAGACATGAGAGGACACACACAGGGGAGAAGCCCTACATGTGCAGGGAGTGTGGGCGAGGCTTCACAGACAAGTCAAGCCTCATCACACATGAAAGGACACACACAGGGGAGAAGCCCTACGTGTGCAGGGAGTGTGGGCGAGGCTTCACAGACAAGTCAAGCCTCATCAGACACGAGAGGACACACACAGGGGAGAAGCCCTACGTGTGCAGGGAGTGTGGGCGAGGCTTCACAGTGAAGTCACACCTCATCACACATGAGAGGACACACACAGGGGAGAAGCCCTACATGTGCAGGGAGTGTGGGCGAGGCTTCACACAGAAGTCACACCTCATCACACATGAGAGGACACACACAGGGGAGAAGCCCTACGTGTGCAGGGAGTGTGGGCGAGGCTTCACAGTGAAGTCACACCTCATCAAACACCAGAGGACGCACACAGGGGAGAAGCCCTACATGTGCAGGGAGTGTGAGTAAATAGTATCATCTCAACAGCAGAGAAGTGTAACCCACCACAGCTTAAAGGAGTCTTACATTCCCAGTACAGTAGAGATTGAACAATTCTTCCACTTATGTGATGAGATGAATTGGACAAACAGAGGAGGGTTGCCTTTTCAGGGATGTTGACTTGTGAATTTCCCACACAGCACCCTCCACCGTTTATGTGTGTACATCTATGCATCTATACACCCTGCTCTAATAAATTTGCTTCCATGAAATCTGAAAATCTAGCAACATGACTAATTCTGCTCCTGTTATTACAGATAGGGTTTCCAGGTCAAGTGCCCAAGGGGCTTCAAACCCCAAAGAATGTAAGGCTGGAGCCTCTGAGCTAACCAGAGAATCAGTTTCGGGGTTAGGGTGAGGGTGAGGGTGAGGGTTAGGGTTAGGCTTAGGGCCAGTTTGAGGCTGAGGGCCAGTATGAGGCTTAGGGTTAGGGTTAGGGGTTAGGGTTAGGGTTAGGGTTAGGGGTTAGGGTTAGGGTTAGGGTTAGGGTTAGGGTTAGGGTTAGGGTTAGGGGTTAGGGTTAGGGTTAGGGTTAGGGTTAGGGTTAGGGTTAGGGTTAGGGTTAGGGTTAGGGTTAGGGTTAGGGTTAGGGTTAGGGTTAGGGTTAGGGTTAGGGTTAGGGTTAGGGTTAGGGTTAGGGTTAGGGTTAGGGTTAGGGTTAGGGTTAGGGTTAGGGGTTAGGGTTAGGGTTAGGGTTAGGGTTAGGGTTAGGGTTAGGGTTAGGGTTAGGGTTAGGGTTAGGGTTAGGGTTAGGGTTAGGGTTAGGGTTAGGTTAGGGTTAGGGTTAGGGTTAGGGTTAGGGTTAGGGTTAGGGTTAGGGTTAGGGTTAGGGTTAGGGTTAGGGTTAGGGTTAGGGTTAGGGTTAGGGTTAGGGTTAGGGTTAGGGTTAGGGTTAGGGTTAGGGTTAGGGTTAGGGTTAGGGTTAGGGTTAGGGTTAGGGTTAGGGTTAGGGTTAGGGTTAGGGTTAGGGTTAGGGTTAGGGTTAGGGTTAGGGTTAGGGTTAGGGTTAGGGTTAGGGTTAGGGTTAGGGTTAGGGTTAGGGTTAGGGTTAGGGTTAGGGTTAGGGTTAGGGTTAGGGTTAGGGTTAGGGTTAGGGTTAGGGTTAGGGTTAGGGTTAGGGTTAGGGTTAGGGTTAGGGTTAGGGTTAGGGTTAGGGTTAGGGTTAGGGTTAGGGTTAGGGTTAGGGTTAGGGTTAGGGTTAGGGTTAGGGTTAGGGTTAGGGTTAGGGTTAGGGTTAGGGTTAGGGTTAGGGTTAGGGTTAGGGTTAGGGTTAGGGTTAGGGTTAGGGTTAGGGTTAGGGTTAGGGTTAGGGTTAGGGTTAGGGTTAGGGTTAGGGTTAGGGTTAGGGTTAGGGTTAGGGTTAGGGTTAGGGTTAGGGTTAGGGTTAGGGTTAGGGTTAGGGTTAGGGTTAGGGTTAGGGTTAGGGTTAGGGTTAGGGTTAGGGTTAGGGTTAGGGTTAGGGTTAGGGTTAGGGTTAGGGTTAGGGTTAGGGTTAGGGTTAGGGTTAGGGTTAGGGTTAGGGTTAGGGTTAGGGTTAGGGTTAGGGTTAGGGTTAGGGTTAGGGTTAGGGTTAGGGTTAGGGTTAGGGTTAGGGTTAGGGTTAGGGTTAGGGTTAGGGTTAGGGTTAGGGTTAGGGTTAGGGTTAGGGTTAGGGTTAGGGTTAGGGTTAGGGTTAGGGTTAGGGTTAGGGTTAGGTTAGGGTTAGGGTTAGGGTTAGGGTTAGGGTTAGGGTTAGGGTTAGGGTTAGGGTTAGGGTTAGGGTTAGGGTTAGGGTTAGGGTTAGGGTTAGGGTTAGGGTTAGGGTTAGGGTTAGGGTTAGGGTTAGGGTTAGGGTTAGGGTTAGGGTTAGGGTTAGGGTTAGGGTTAGGGTTAGGGTTAGGGTTAGGGTTAGGGTTAGGGTTAGGGTTAGGGTTAGGG